TACTCAGCACATATGTTTATCCAGAGCTTACTGTCTGAGAGTTAAGATCGCTACCTGGCTACCTCCACCTCAGACCTGGGAACCGCACCACTGTTCCGTCTGCAGCCGTCTCCAGCCGATGATGTAAGAGAGCCCTTCATCTGGGTTCTGGGAGTAACACTGACGCTATGCGTGAGAAATGGGAAAATTCCTGCTGAAGACATTTGTTTGTTTTTCGGATTTTTTTCCCCTCCTAGAAAAATCACAATTTATGGGTTTCAGATGACCAGGGGGCAGAGAGCAACCCAAAATCAGAAAAAAGCATGAAATAATTCAGCTTCTACTCCCCTGAGTACTGGAGCTTTTTGGGATTATCTTAGGCTGCTCGCTGAGTCCTGCGATGAGAAAGCATGAGCTCTGTCTAGCTTTCAGGTATGTGTTCGGTCTCAGGAGTCCGGATGATGCAATGGCAGCAGGGTGTATGCAGGGTGTAGCTGACGTGTGGCTTGCTGGTCTCTGCAGATGGACCTCAACATCCACACCCTTTCTTCTGGCCCAAGGTTCACTGAGGGTAGAAACGGGGAGCTTGGACTGTGGAACCAAGGAAAAAAAGGATGAGAACTTTACTGCTTTCCAGTCTCAGCTCTTACATCATCTCCACCTTGGGATTTCAGCAGATCTTTTTGTTCCTGGAGAACTTCAGTACATTTCAGGATTTACTGGACATAATATTAGTAGTTCCACAGCTTTTCTAAGGCAAGACCATGCTTAAAAAACGTTCTCCAAATGTAGAACATGTTCAAATGCTTCACCAGCACGCATTTTTTTCAAGTTCAGATGCTTTGAAAATCGAAGTTATTCAGTGCAACTTGCACAACTCATTGTTCCGCAAACCCACCCATGTATAACACTGGCTCTGTTTCCAAAACATGTCGTTGTTCAGGATACAATAGCACATCCCACGTTAGGACCTAGAATTTTGATCTTTTCATCATATTTTGGGCTCAACTACTGCACACCCTGCTGTAAATAAGTATAATAGCATTTCTTTCTCATCTTAATGAATAAGCGCATTTCAAATCTTTGAGTCCACACCTCTCACCCCTTTTCTTTTAATTTTCTTTCTTTCCTGGCTGAAACGGGGAGACCTCTTTCGTTCTGCCTAGCCAGCAGGGCCCTGGAGACGTCGTCTGAGCCATTTACACATGCAGCACTGGCTTTTCTGCCAGTTCATTCTTGGCAGGTGGTTGTTTCCCACATAAGTTACAAAACCCCTGATTGGTCAGATGCCAGATCTGTCCCGTGTCCTGCTATTTTGAGAGACAGGATGATTAACCAATCAACATCCTTTAAATTGATTTTTTCTTTTCCAATGAGAGACTCAGACATTTTATTTTGGAAGTTACCTGAAATGTTGTGGCAGTTTATGGAGTGATCCTTCCTCCGTATGGTCTCCAGGGAACGCTTCCTTGCCGGAGAGCCTGTGGGATCACTGGAAGAATGTTCACTATTGGAGAAACAGAGTTTCATGCCTGATGTCAGATTTATCTGTGCGCCTGTGGTCCGGAATGGTTCTCGGAAGCCTGTTACTCAACAAAAACGCTTCTCATGAACTAGAAACAGGCACTGCGGCAATGAAAACCAAATGGCTGATGTGGGGAGCCTAAATAGACACAGGCCAATCGTGTTTCACAACTCATTAGAAAATTACATCTCATTGTAACATCACAGCTTGTTAACAGATTCCAGCTCAATAACCGTCCATGGCTAAACCGCTACAGATCATCGATGTATAAAATACCCAGGACCAGAAACACAACTAACTCACAATTCAACACTGATCTGTGATAAATTATTGCCATTGTTTATAATAAAATAGCATAAATGAGTATTCCTGCTTTATTGCACTGATCTTTTCACCCATCTTGGACCAACCATTTGGTCTGCAGATTTTCACACCAACAGCATTGTGAGTCGATGGTGAAAAACAAGACGATGCGTTATGATTACAGGGGTTAAAAACAAGACGATATGGTATGATTACAGGGGTTAAAAACAAGATGATGTGGTATGATTGCAGGGGTTAAAAACAAGACGATGTGGTATGATTGCAGGGGTTAAAAACAAGACGACGTGTTATGATTACAGGGGTTAAAAACAAGACGATGTGGTATGATTGCAGGGCTTAAAAACAAGACGACGTGGTATGATTGCAGGGGTTAAAAACAAGACGACGTGGTATGATTGCAGGGGTTAAAAACAAGACGACGTGGTATGATTGCAGGGGTTAAAAACAAGACGATGTGGTATGATTGCAGGGGTTAAAAACAAGACGATGTGGTATGATTGCAGGGGTTAAAAACAAGACGATGTGGTATGATTGCAGGGGTTTTGGCGCCTCCCATGTTATGCCTCAGGGCCATTTGGAAAGTCAAAAGCAATCGAAAGCAGAGAAAGCCTCACGTGTTCAGAACTGCAGGATTCACCTGGGTGACCATCCTGTTGTCCCAAAAATAGAGTGACAAACTGACCAACGCCTAGGTTTTTATTACGGTGCTCTGTTTATTTTCATAGGTCCGCCGTCACCTAGTTGAGTCAATGGCAGACGAGTCATTCGTCCCAACAGAGGCTGGAGAGCGTGAGGAGAGGATCGGCAGCATAAGCTCACAGGAAACCAGACGGCGCACGTCATGACTGGACCCTGGCCAAAAGAGGCCATTCATTTAATCACTCAGCTTCAGTTTATTTAGTTTGTTATTTTGTTATGCTGGTTTTTGTTGCCACAGCCAGATACAACTTTTTTGCTTTTCTTATACTCTTGGCTATAAGCTAATGGAATCCATCAGAACCACTCCAGTGTTAATGACCAACCAGTCGATCAGGCCCGACCTGTACCAACGAGCAACTGCTGAGGCTTCAACTCACAACCTCAACTGTTTAGCCCAGTATTTCCAAATCCGGTCCTCAGGGATCCACAGCTGGTCCATGTTTTTGCTCCCTCCGAGCTCCCTGTCAGACAGTCCACATTTTTGCTCCTGGGAAGATGACAACAAAGTTACTTTGACTTCTGACTTTACTCTGTTTGAATTTGACATGGCCTCATGCCCAGACACATGACAAGGCCTCTGGTTTTTAAAGAACTGTTCATCACATTCGCTTCGACCTTCAGCCAGAAGGAGCTGATTTTCGGACCATGAGCATCAGAGTCCCAAAGGCAGAAATCAGAACAGGGAAATACTCCCCGGACACTGCATACTCGAACAGGGTAATACTCTACGGACACTCTGCACGCTCGAACAGGAAAATACTCCACGGACACTCTGCACGCTCGAACAGGAAAATACTCCACGGACACTCTGCACGCTCGAACAGGAAAATACTCTACGGACACTCTGCACGCTCGAAAAGGAAAATACTCCACGGACACTCTGCACGCTCAAACAGGAAAATACTCTACGTTCACTCTGCACGCTCGAACAGGAAAATACTCTACGGACACCGCATGCTCGAACAGGAAAATACTCTAGGGACACTCTGCACGCTCGAACAGGGAAATACTCTACAGACACTGCATGTTCGAACAGGAAAATACTCTACGGACACTGCATGCTCGAACAGGGAAATACTCCACGGACACTCTGCATGCTCGAACAGGAAAATATTCCACGGACACTGCACGCTCGAACAGGAAAATACTCCAAGGACACTCTGCACGCTCGAACAGGAAAATACTCCATGGACACTCTGCACGCTCGAACAGGAAAATACTTTAGGGACACTCTGCAGGCTCGAGCCAGGAAAATACTCTACGGACACTCTGCACGCTCGAGCCAGCTTGACTTAGCACTTTGGTATTTTTCAATCTAGAGTTTCCAGGAGACGACAGGAAAAAAGAAGAAGAATATTGTGCAATATAAAAAGCAGTTGTCTTTTTAAGCATATTTATTAAGAATCTCACTTACGTGCTCAGAAACAAACACTCAAGTCATGTCCCAATCTGCATGTTACGTAAACGTTAGCGTGAGTCAAGCTAATAGCCAAACTGATGAGATGTCAGACGTTTAAAAAGCATAGAGAGCAGCCCACTGGTCCATTGGCCAAACCTGGCTTCCTCACCATCAAATCTCTCATCGTTTATTTTCCCAGAAACATGAGCTGCTCTATTTGTGATGTGAAAGAAACTTATTGATCTAATGATAAAATATAAGTGTATATACAGCGAGACATAAGCCAAAACCCACTAGCCATTAAAAGCTTTCTGAGGGGGTTTGTGAAACCATCAAATTTCATCATATCAGAAAACAAAGGTCAGGGAGCAGAGCATTCCCTGCCTGGCCAGCCACACACGCACACACACACACACACACACACACTCTCTCACAGACACACACTGACATACACACACACAATTAGCAATATACAGTAGCAGGCTGGGGGGGTATGTTCCTAAACCCAGATATAGGCTACTTGTCACATGTGCTCAGTCTTCTTTAGTGACACCCACCGTTCCCACGTGCCTGAAGGAGCTTAGCTTGACTTCAGCACGATGAACCCACAACTTTTTGAGTGGACAGTTAACAAATCAACAATCTCCCCTCACTAAAGCTAGCAACCAGTTTAAAGGTATATTAGTCTATACTTTTATTTGCTGTTTCTTTCTATATAATTACATAATTGTAAATCCATCTATCCATTATCTAAACCTGCTCGTCCTATCCCGGTTTGGGAGGTATTTTCTGCAAAAAATAAAATGAAAATACCTCCCATATATCCCGGAATTTTCGGGCGCAAGGCAGGGAATAACCGGGACCGGGCGCCAATCCATCACCGGAAAGTTAAGATGACAATCGTGTTATTTCAATGTTCCATGACTAAAATAAAAGTGAGTCGCAAACGTTTGGTGCCAAAGTATTAATCTGATAAAAATGAGTAGATAAGGACTAGGAATAACGGAAAACGTGGTGAAAAGTGTAAAAAAAAAGCGGGGTGGGGGGGTGTGATAAGGAGGGGGCAGGAGGCGGACACCCCCCCCCATACACACCCGCCTTGGGGAGCAGCATTCGTCATCTGTGAACAGGATACCAACGTTTGACTTTCCCCAAGTTTGTCAGTGCTTGTAACTGCGGAGAGTGATCTCTCTCTTTTAAAATGGAATAATAATACTTATAAGCTTGTTAGTTTTTGCCTTTTTAAATTCGTGACGTCGTCTGCTTATTTTCCTTTTTTAATACATACACACTGCACAAATGGGTCGTGGGGTCCAGCGTTGTACCTTCTATCTCATGCTCACCTTTTCACTAATCCAGGCAACGCCACTCAGTTATGATCTGTTTCAGGGCCCCGCATATTCCGGACAGGGACACCGGCACAAAAACAGGTAAGTGACCTGCTTTTTATATCACAACTTTAATTTCAGCACGATTCCAGGTAATCGGCGTAATATATCAATGGGATGTAAATGTTTTTAAATACTTTGCATCCTTATTTAATATCTATATTGTATGAGTAGATCCAGTCTAGATGTTTGTTTAAAGGCGTTGTAAAACACACAGTTGGCATTGATGCATCTCTATTATCACCTTCCACTATAAGATCGTGTAGAATGCTGGGATTTTGCCTGTTAAATCTGCACAAAGGACTGTCCTTGCGTACGGAAACAGCAAACCAGTCCATGACATTTAATTGACGAAAGATCAAACCACAGGTTTTATTTCAAACATTGCAAATTTTCTAATAAAATTGTTTTAAAAGTTCTGCTTTGTTTTTGGGCGCGGGGTCTGCCAATTTACTCATACAATTCATCAACATGCTTAATTTCACGTCTTTGTTTTTTTTTCTTTGTTGAAATTTGGCGGTTGCGTCTTTTGTAATGCGTTTCAGAAACTGGTGCGCGCATGTCGTGCACAAGAACGTGACCTGCGCGGTCCTGGCGACCGCTGAGAGCTTCGGGGAGCCGGAGCGCGCCGCGTGCCCGCCGGAGGAGCCCGACTGCCTGCGGCGAGTGATGTCAGTATCTCTTAAAAATAAACGGCGGTATAAGAAACCATAAACGACATATAAAAATACGGTTCTTCTACACATGGTGTTAAATGTTATTAAAATTTTGAGAAGGACCGTCCTTTGCCTTTATTGCCGTTCCAAGTGATCTTTCTCACAGATGCTGCAGCCAGTCGCAAGCCCAAGAGGAAATGACGTCATTCATTATTTCAAGTTCATAACGTACGGTATTGTCAGAGTCACAGGAGCATGTGTCTGCAGGTATCGAACCCAGTTCCACCCGGTGTATAAGATAGGCTACAAGGTGGTGACAGAACTGGAGTGGAGGTGCTGTCCGGCATTCCAGGGCCCCGACTGCAAGACCCTGAAGACGGGTGTCTACAGGCAGGCCGCACCACACCCAGACTCCCAGCCCAGCCCGGGGGAAGTCCACTTTGCACCCAGTAAAGCTCACCTCGCTTCCATCTTCCTCATTGCTCTAGATGACGACTTCATCAAAGCACAGAAGTGACCAAACTCATTGCTTAATTTGTAAGAAGCTCATAGTTGGTTGAAAGCAAGGATGTTTGATTATGGGTGGGGATTAGTAATTTACATTTAATAATTTAAATAAGGAAGCCAGTTTAAATATTGGGGGTATATGTGCCCACCCTTTTCTACTCCACTGGCTGAAAGTGAGGAAAACTTGGTTTTGGAGCTAAGGTATAGCTACAGATATCAGCAAGTTTATATATATATATGTGTGTGTGTGTGTGTGTGTGTGTGTGTGTGTAAATTTTATATATATAAAATACAGAGAATCAAAGAATCAAATGTTGTCATTGTTCAATAGCTGGACAGCATGATGGCATCCAAACATAAGCAGGACATGAGCTGATCTTCTGCTGTATCTGCTTGACATTTATCTGCTGTGTGTTGTCCCCTTCCAGGGCCGGAGTTGGTAGAGTCTGGGCTTAGCAGTCCATGGCAGGGGGCAGAGCAGGTTAACCAGCTGGAACAGGAGGTGCAGCGGCTCTCACAGACAGTGCAGGACCTGCAGACCACCCTGACCGGCCTGAACGAGAACCTGCGGCCGGACGCCCGGGGAGATGCCGGCCGCATGCTGGTGACGCTGCTCAATGACCGGCAGCCAGCGGAGAGCTCTCGGGACAAGGTGCCGGACAGTGTGCCCACTCTGCCCAGGGCTTCCCAGGCGCTGCGGGGGGCTTCCCAGGCGCTGCGGGGGGCCTCGTCCCCTGAGGGACCCCCTCGCCTCTTGAGGGAAGCGTCCCAGGTTCCCCAGCCCAGCATCCCCACCCAGGACGATCACGATCCACTGCAGACCTACATCGACCACAAGTTTGAAGAGCTGAAGCAGGAGCTTCTGGAGGAAATGGACCTCAAGATGGCTGGTCTGAAGAGCTCCTACGACCACAAGATCCATTCTCTGGAAAAGCAGTGTGCCGCACAGGAGAGCAATCACGTCTCATTGACTAAGCTGGTGACTGACAACGAGGCAGACCTGCGCACTGAAATCCAGGATCTCCGGCTCAGCCTGGGGACCACTGGCGGCCCAACCAGAAACTATGGAGAGACCAAACCCAGCCGAAAGTTGGACGGTCTCGCCGAGCTCCGCAGGGACGTGGAACGGATTGCTGAAGCAGGCCGTGCTTTGAACGCCAGGGTGGACAACGAGCTCAAGCATTTGTCCTCTATGAGGCTGGAGGACATTTTTGGGCCACGGTTTGAAGAATTGGAAGCTCGCTTCAATGTCACAGAAAGGAACACAGAGGTGCACTGCTTCTACATCGATGAGAAGCTGACGAGACTGATTACCGATGAGGTGAAGGCATTGAGACAGTCACTGGACGAGCGGCTCGGTGCCATAGAGCTGGGAGAGGCTTTACAGACTGAGGTCAGCTCCAACAAGCGCATCATCCAGGGCTTGGAGGAGAAGCTTAATGCTCTGGGGATGGTCTGCTCCAGGAACTGTGGGGCTGGGCCGGAAGGCCTTGATGCCTTCCAGGAGCAGCTCAGGCTCTGCAGGAGCGACGTGGATGAGCTGGCTTCTGAAATGAACTTCAGCACAGACAAGCTGAGAGAGCTGAACGCTCTGGTCCAAAGTCAGTTGACGATCGCCGAGGAAGAGAGGCAAAACTTTGCAGGCATGCTGGCTGGGATGAGTGATCTCCGCACTGATGTGAATTCCCTCCGCGGGGCGGTAGCTGTCCTTGGGCAATCCCTGTCCGAGCAAGCCCTCGAGCTCCAGAACATCAGTGCCACCTGCTCCCCGACAGATACACCTCAACCTGTGGAAGGAATGCTGGGAAGTCAGATGGAGGAGCTGCGAACGAGGGTGGAGCACCTGAGTGGTCGGGTGAGCTCGGAGCTGCTGCAGTGCCGGGAAGCCGGCGAAGGCATGGCGAAGGACATATCGACGGCGGACGGCCGCATCGGTGACGTGGAGAGGGCTTGCGGCAAACTAGAGGGTATCCCCGACGAGCTGCGGCAACTTCACAAGGGCCTGGAGGACACCGTGAGCCGCTTACAGGGTGGTGTTCATCAGATCAACATGACTGTGGGAACACAGGTGAAGGATTTAGCGAGCATGAGGAACCTACTCAAGAACATCCTGAACCAGCCATCAGGAACAAACCAAACTGCTCCAGAGCAGACTGCGAGCAGCCCTCCGAAACCAGGTGAGTCCCTTCAGTGTCTCCTGGAGTCTGCAGAGGTGTCCCAGGAGAACTGCATATCTTTGTGTAATAACTGCGAGGCTTTTTAGTTTAATTGTAGGGGAAGGAGCGGTATTGTGGGTAAGCAGTTGGACTAGTAAAATAAGAATTCACCCATTTTATAAATAAGATGCAATTCATGCCATAGTGCCAAAAACTTGTTTTTCTCTGTTTTTAAATTCTGTTCCACACTGCAGGGAATCATAGTTGCCATTTAAAAGTACTGGGAGTCCTATATCAAACTCCCGGGGACTGGATTTACAGTATATTCACATGGAAACAGAAAGGGCTCATATAGCGACAGAATGTGAATAGCAGGAAGACGGGGTCACATGGTGGGGGTGGGGACGTTCAGATGTGAAAACAGCTGGGGTTTAACCAGGGGAGGGTCCTACGCAAGAGTGCCGTGCTTCTCAAATGCCTGGCTTCAGTATGTCATTCGCAGTGCGCTCTAACCTACGGTCCCACCAGAAACCAAACACTGGTGCAGTATGTCATTCGCAGTGCGCTCTAACCTACGGTCCCACCAGAAACCAAACACTGGTGCAGTATGTCATTCGCAGTGCGCTCTAACCTACGGTCTCACCAGAAACCCAACACCAGTGTTTCAGCATGTTGTTTTGTTTTTGTTTGTTTTCATGAAGGTTTAGGAAATGGGAGTTTGTCTGCCACTGGATTTGATTCTGATGTTTAGGACATTTAGTTCTCTCCTTGAGGGAGAGGAAAGTCTTATGGCAGTTGTTTGTCGTCCCTTTCACACAGAATGCCTTTCATGCAGTGGAGTTACTAAGCACAGTGACTTGACGGACCACACCCACTCAGTACTGACCAAACCCAATGTTGTGAGCAGCACACTGTAGACTTTCAGACTAGTTTGTATTTCAGTTTATTCATTTTAACTCGCTAGTTCATCTCTCGGGACATATAGCTATTTACACGACTTCTGTTCTCCTGCCAGCTCTTCGGGGGTTGGGGGGGGGGGGGGGGGGGTCTGTTTCCCGTACTGCCTTGTCGAATCGATGTTTTGGCCTGTTCCTAATTAGTACACTGAATCATGGGGAGGGTTTGTATTCGGGCACTGGCGTGGAAGACAGCGCAGATGTTCACACTGTGTGCATGGTGATGTCACTTCCTACAGGGGGCGCCAGCACACACCCAAGTGCTCTTACATTATTTCTGTTGTCATAGCTAGCCTCTGTCTGCTCCCTGGTGCTTTGTAAAGACCTACAAAACCTTCAGAAGAGGTGGTGGGGTATGGAGACCCACTGACAATCCCAACCCCGGCACAGGGGGGGTATACCAGCTAGTAGATGGCAAGGGGCCATGCAGATGTTCACACGCCAATATGGTCCAGATGTTCAGCCATTTGACCCCGAGCTCCCGGTGGACCCCCAGCCCCCCAGCCCAGCAGACACCTTATCAGTGCGTCACCCTGGTGCAGCTTCCTGCTGATAGCATCTGCCTTCCCACTGAGCTGTGGAGGCCATTTCCTCTGCTGGTCTTCAGCCTGATTTCGTGGACTGCTGCTTGCCAGGACACCAGGGGAGGTTCAAAACCCAGACTGGTGTCCAGGTGACCATTAAGCAAGGATTGCTTCACTTAAATAGCCATGCAAGATAACAGTTCATCTGTTAAATGGAAAAATCAGTGTGGAATTTATATATACTAAACTGACTGCTAACGAATAACTTATTAATTACAGTTTTAGATGCTAGAGGGCTGTTAACTCGAGGTAACACTCAGGCTTGTAAATTGACCATTACAACTATTTTGTACAAACAGTTAGTTCTGACCAAGAAATCTGATTGGACAAGAGACGTTCTTTGAGTGCTGTTATCACCACACTTGGACATTTCACATCAGATGTATCACTCCGCTATACAGGTGTATCTAAAAACTTAGTTACATTTAAATGATGCCCAGTAGCTGGGAGTGAGTGAACTGTGTTTCACTGGAATGTATTTGTTGCTTAGTAACAGTCAACAGTTGGATGGTGGGAACTATTTTTTTCCCCCGAGGCCTGTAAATGTTCAAATAATCAAGCAAAGTATTATTAGTCTTATTGGCTTAAAAATGCTACTCGATGAACTGCTGTATAATAGCAATAACATACTCGTGCAGTTGTACTGAAATATATCACGGCTGTGATTTGGTCGTAGGCAAAAGGCTGCAGGCCACAGATAATCACAGCTGTGATATATTGGAGTGAAACCACACTCCTTCTCATATGTTCTTGCTAAATTATAAGTACGTCCAGGGTGTGGCGCTCACTTTAATAAGCCTTTATACCATAACTCTGGCAGGGGATGTTTGGACCTGCGCTGTCACGGTTTCCGGGGAAACGCCGTGCGGCTGGATGAGGTCAGCAGCTGGGTTGACCGATCGCCGCGTGTAGCACAGCCCCCCCCCCCCGTTTCATACGCGCAAGGCCATCCTAGGGAGAGCAGCGGCGGCCCCCATCTGTTCCTCATCGGGGCCCCCGCCCTCGTCATTTCACGGTGCTCCGGCGAGAAGGCCCCGCCAGGAAGCATGCGAAGGTTTGCGCTAAACGATGGCTAGCATGCGCTAATTATCGCAAAGCAATGGGCGTGTGAATGACAGAACCATGCTTCACGGGGCAAATGAGTGAGGGGAGGGGGCTGGGGTGGGGGCCTTTGGCTCACATCAGTCTTTCAGCTGGCTAATAAACTCTGAGGAAGAGGTACAGGTCCGTGTAAGCTTAACTGATTTTACCTCTAATCTCCAGGGGAACATTGTACTGATACTGAACCTGTACATATATATAGTCACCCCTCCAGCTGGTCGGCAATGTTGAGGGATCATGGAGAGCTGGATTTCGCAGCGTCCTAACCCTACTCAGTTCTCCTCCTGTGATCATGAGCTCAGATAGAGGCCCATAATCAGTGTATGAAGTGTGTATTAGTGGATCATTTTGTGACTGGCTGGTCGCTTCACCTCCCCTATAAAAATCCCTCAGTGATTATCATGCCTCCAAGCTGTAGGGGGAAGATCCCTCTACTTTCCTAGGCAGTCTGACATGGTTCAGTTCCTATGAGAATTATCGGTAATTTCTTTAACCAGTGTGCCACCTGCTGGCCTAAAAGTGTCAGTGCAGTGAATTTTTTTACAGCGTTAGAAAAGGATAATGGGACTGGTGCTGTGTTCAAACCTCTGACACTCTTCTTCTTTCTGCTTTTCGGTGTGCAAGGGCCAGAACAGACACCTCGCATTTCCCCCGGGGCCAAACCCGCACCCCTCCCCACCTCCCCCCTGGAGCCTCACAGTCGCCTCATTCCCCACATACACATCCCGCTGATTCCCCCCCCTCATCAGCTACCCGTGAACCCCCTGCGGCCGGACCGCGCCCCTCAGCGCCCACCCCCCCCTCGACAGCCCATGCGGGAGGCCGGAGAAGCCGGACCTCCCGGGACGCCCCCCCGAGTTCAGCCCAGGCTGCACGCAGAACCTATGCAGGGCTTTGCTGGAGCTCCAGGTGAGGGACTGTGACTTTTTACTGAACATGCAATAGGCCCGTTCTCCTCTGTCTACTGATAGCATCTGACATTTCATGAAAAGGTGTTTTATAAAGGCATCTGTTTAACTAGTATTTATCTTTGTATTAGTTAGCATTTGTATTCATGATTTGTGTGGATTACTTTATATCGTTAACGCGAACAACTTAACATCGTTAAACATAGCTAGCTAGCTGACATCACTGATTAATAGTGAATATAAAGTGATATTACTTTGTGTCTTGTTGACACCGACAAATTTGTCTCGCTAGTAACAGTCTTGGTAAATCCTTTCAAAATTATGACTATTTGTGGTGCTAGGGGGTGTCCTGTTGTTTTACTGTATTCTGCAAAGCAGTTTCTGGGAAAATGCATTTTTTCACAATCCTAAAATAATGGATTTTTTTTTTTCCATTGGACAGCGATGACATATTGGAAACTCCCAAAGGACCCAAACTTATTACTTATAATTTGTGCCACTGACAGGTTACCCCCCCCTCAAATCCGTGTCGTTCCGGTCCAGATTTCTCCCAGGTATGTTCCCCTTCTACCTGGGTCTTTCCCTCCGTCTGTCTGCTGCCCTTCTGCTCACCAAATCACACTCGCTCTCTCTCTTCCAGTCACCTCGTCTCCGCGGAGGCTAGAAGTTCAGAGGCCCATCATCACCCGGGGTAAAACCACGCCTCCTAACCCTAACCCTAAACCTAACCCCCCACGAGCTTTCACCCTGCCCCAATGCTGTCATTCCTGCTCTTACCATTTCCCATGATTCCCCACTGAGCTGGTCTGTTCACTGATGCCACGTCTCCCGCAGCGGTGGAACACTCCGGCTCAGCCATGCCCTTCTCCTTCTCCGCCGGCCTCGGCCTGCAGACACGTCCTGCCCGCCTGGGTGTGGTCCTTTTCGACAAGGTGCTGGTGAATGACGGGGAGCACTATAACCCAGCCACAGGTAGGGGCATTTTCACTGGAAGGCCTGATGGTCTCCAAACATGTCGGGGTGTGACAGTAGGTGTCCCGGGGGGCGGAGCCTAACATATCATCAGCCAATAGATTGCACTGGAAGCATTGGCTCATCCAATGAAAACACTCTAAATTAAAGACCAGCAGCTGTGATCATGTTATTTGTTTAGTAGACACTTTTGTCCAAAAAGGAAAGCAGAGGAAAGCTTTGGGTCAGTAAAGTGTCAGCTAGCATCCCAGGAACATTTGAAATGAAGGGCCTTGCTTACACTCTGCTGGCTGTAGGATCTGAACCTACGACCTGAGCTACACATCGGCCCAGAGTCCAGTCAGGATGTCAACCAGAAAATGCATCAGCATTAGTGCCCCCTAGAGGTCCAGCAGAGCGTGTCACAGAGGATATAAAGCAGGCATATCCGTTTTGCTGCAGGGACATTCACGGTCCCAGAAGATGGGCGGTACCTGGTCAGTGCGGTGCTGATGGCACACCGGGGCGAGCACGTGGAGGCCGTGCTGACGGTGTCTGATGGCATCGTGCAGCGGCTGGCCTCCTCGGAGCCCGCAGGCCGGAAGGACCCCAGGCATCGGTGCGGCTGCGGGGGCTCCGCCTCCCTCACCCTGGCGCTCACACTGCGGGCTGGCGAACCCCTGCGGCTGGTCCTCACCTCCGGCAGGCTGGCCGCCCCGGACTCCAACGAAGTTCTCTCCACCTTCAGCGCCATCTATCTGTATCCTACGCCCATAAGCCGGTAGCCTCCCGAACTTTCCTTCCTGCTCTGACAACTGATCTAGGATTTGTTTAATTTCCCATTTGTTCTATGGTTCACCATAATGTGCTAAATGCTGAGACTGATCCAGGGTCAGTTCCTTGTGTGTTGTGAGTTGTTTGAAATTTCCTACCGCTTTTCCGGGTCGGGTCGCGGGGCAGCAGTCTCGCCAGGGAAACCCAGACTTCCCTCTCCCCGGCCACGTCATCCAGCTCCTCCGGAGGAATCCCGAGGCGTTCCCAGGCCAGCCGAGAGACATAGTCCCTCCAGCATGTCCTGGGTCTTCCCCGGGGCCTCCTCCCAGTGGGACATGCCCGGAACACCTCACCAGGGAGGCGCCCAGGAGGCATCCTGACCAGATGCCCGAGCCACCTCATCTGACTCCTCTCAATGCAGGAGAAGCAGCGGCTCTACTCTGAGTCCCTCCCGAATGACCGAGCTCCTCACCCTATCTCGAAGGGAGAGCCCAGCCACCCCGCGGAGGGAAACTTCCATAAAAACTAAATGAAAAAAATATTTCAACTTGAATTTTTTTGAGATGAAGTTCTCAACCCCAAAACATGAGATTAAATGAACCAGGAACAGGAAGGCCTAGCTTAACACTGAATCAAGCATTTTAAGATTGTTTTTAATGTTTTCTTGATATATGTAAACAATACATTTTCCAAGATATTTAAAAAAACAGATTGTTTAGAGTTTTAGGTTTACATACGCTACTTTTTTGAGGTCTGTATTTTTCACAATGTCTGGTGTATCCTTTATCACAAAGCCACAGTACTTTTCCACAGAGAAGCGTAGTAATTTCCACAGATTACAATAGGAAGTGTAGCAGCCCACACACAGTTCTGCATGAGCATGGCCATTGCTGCAGCAGCCAATGTGAGCCCAGAGTTGTGATCAGCTGGGCATTATCAGAGGGGGGCGGAGTCAGCATATAACATATAACCAGTCCCACAGGATACCTGGAAGCAGCCTGTACTCAGTTGTGTGTGGCTGAATTTAATATGTAAATGTGTGTATTAAGTGGACTTCAGCACAAGAAGAGAAAATCCCATTTTTATATATCCCTGTTGTACGTAGTACTAACAGAAAATAAAATTCCCTTTGGGTAACAACTACTGTGGAGATGGTACATTTAGACAGATGTAAAGCCTAAAATGGGTTGGTGTACTTCCACTGGCTGTGTGAGCTGATGTCAGACTCCACTAGATGGCGATAGAGAGTACAGCCCTGTGGTCAGACTGGCATAGAGTGGCGACTCCAGCACTAAAACATATCCTGCATCTGTAGTCATATTGGGCTTAATGACTCTTAGCATGGAGCATCAGGTTTAAGAAGACTACTTATAACCAGGGCTGTGGAGTCGGTAGATAAATGCTCCGACTCCGACTCCTCAGTTTCTAAATCTTCCGACTCCTCTGTATGTATATACTATGCTAATGTATTTTCTACATCCATTGAAGGAAAGGAAGGCAACATACATGTCATTTCACCACAGAACTACTGGCTAGGAAGCCAACACTCTACTATAATGCCAGATTAAAGACAAACACAATGAAAACAAGGTTTCAAGGGTAGCGCATAGCGAAGGGGAGCCGACGGAGCTGAGAACACACCAGATGATTTTTCCGGCGTTTGACGCGTGATGACTCGTTGAACGTCCGAAAAATCGGCAGTGCATCTGTAAATGTATGGGGGGCTTTAGGCTAGGTTCACAGTTCCCTGCAACAGTGGAACACGACACAATGGAAAGCGGTGCCGCACCTTACCTGTGCATTACATCCCATATAGTGACGCATACAGTCAATGAAAAGCATGCTTCATGGTTACTTGACATGTTAGTTTTGTGGTAACATTATGCACTGCATGCATTGGGCTTTATTCTTACAGCAGAGAAGTAGTTCATTATGACTGTTTGTGAATTGGGACATTTCAACTTACTTTTTTAATTCCCATTTAAATTTAGTCGGAGTCGGAGTCGGTTAACTTTTTGCCGACTCCGACTCCAGGTACCCAAAATTGTCTCCGACTCCGACTCCTCGACTCCGACTCCACAGCCCTGCTTATAATCATGAAAAACCATCCAAAAAACAAATGAACACACATTTGGTTTATGAATATATAATTTTTCTCTCTTACAGTAAGTGATACGATTTACATTAAAAATAGAATTTGACCTTTTTTTTTTTACCATTAACCCTTACATAAGGCATTGAAGTTTGAGGCACATGTTAGTTTTACTCTCATTACCTCTACAGAGAATAAAAGCCATACAAACATGAGCTCTACCTTTAAGAAAGCAGCGTTTGATGGTTCCACACCAGAATATTACTTTCACAGAAAGAACAGACCTACAGGTTAAAGACTGGAACACACACTCACTCTCAGGGCTTTTAAAAACAGACACACACATTACTAATCAATACCAAAGGAGGAAATCCCCTCTCACAGCAGCTCTACATACTGCCGGTCTAGATGTGTTTTGAATTTGGTGCATTAGATGTGCAAGAAAAGAGAATGATATAATTGCTTTAAAGCAGGCAAATCCGCTGGACAGCTATGGGAAAAAATGGACGGGGCCGGTTTGATGGTTTGGGTCCTAGCAAGAGCTATCCAAAGTATTTTACAGCGTCTTAAAAAAAAAAAAAAAAAAACACCAAGATGTCAGGATTGGTTGTGCGATGGAGGGACACTTCTGACATATCAGTGCAGGGTCCTGAAAGCGGGCTTCCCTTCTGCCCTAAAGTCCTGAGTGGGTCACATCCAACCCCAACTGTATCATTAAGCCCTCCATCTTGCATAATGTACAGGTTACTCACCCGGTGACGTTACGGCATGACATGCACCTGTACCCAGGAGCGGACTCACACTGACATTTAACCTGCTTAGATACCTCACCCAGGTGTGGCAGGGTGCAGAGATCCAGAGCAGCATCGAGGAAGGGATCTGGGTTCGTGGGCTCTTTGGGTCACGCTAATAGAAGATCCTCAGGCAGGAGCTCAGGGATTGGCTGCCTCCAGTAGCAGAAGGAGCTGAAATCAGGGCAGTCGAAGGCAGAGCTCTGTTCCTTGCTCAGCAGGGGAAAGACGTGCTCCACCAGCTCGCTCAGCCGACAGTACCTGGACATGCCCAGTAGGCGGAGCCAGAGAGGCAGTCACATGATCAAGCTCCAGTATTGTAAATAGACCACACCCTCAGCTCCTGATTCGCCCCCGCCAAGACCAGAGAACTTACGAAGACTTGTTCCCTTTGGTCTGTTCCTGAATAAGCTCGCCCTTCGGGTTCACCGTGAATATCCGGCACTGTGGTACACCCACCTGCTCATAGGCCAGTGCATCCTGTAGAAACAAACAGGAAGTGAGACAAGGTACAAAAGACGGGCACCGTCATTATACAGTCATGCTCAGTGACATACAAGCAGTTCTTACGTTACTCCTGTTCCCAAAAGCGGCATAGAAAGGTTGCTTGTTGGGAAGGAACAAATTCTTGATGTCAGTGAGACATGTGATCTTGAAGACCTCCGGCTTCTTCTCGATGACCTCCCTATAAGGAAGGGCTCGTTACACGGAGAGACATATACGGCAGCCAAAATCGCAACACTCAATGCCAATGGGTGAGAGTAAGGGAATGGGGCTTGCCTGTGTAAGGCAGAGAAGAGACTACTGGGAGCCAGCAGAAGGGGACCCCGGGGCAGAATGGTGCCCCCGTCGTTTACCCAGTGCAGGTAGCCTCGAGTCATATCCGCCATGCCAATGGCTCGCGCAGAGCAGTACAGGAACTTGTACCCATTCCTATGGCAACAGGAAAAGAAGAACTGACAACAGGATAGGAAGCCATGGAAACAGGACTGCCACAAGGTTGGGCAGGGGTGGGGTGGGGCATGAGGAAACTCAACCAACAGATCCCAGAAGAAGAGAAGAGAATCGAAGCCCATTTCTGGCTTACTGGTGTATATAGTGGTAGAGCTTGGCAATGCCCTGGTGGGTCCAGTCCTTGCCCAGCTGGGGGAGGATGTGCCCGAACACGTCTGACCTAAATAGAGAGCGTCAGGGGGGCAGAAAACAGATCACCATACAACAGAAGACACCATTTCACCATGTGGCTACTTCCAGCACTCGCCCGAAATTATTCAGATTTATTACAAGGATTCACAGTGACTTAGAGAGAAACCCCAAAGTCGGGGGTAACCCCAGCTCGATCATGTGGTCTGGATGCAGACTGGACTCCCGACTATTGAGTGGCGGTTCATATGTTCTCCCAAAGTCGGGGGTAACCCCAGCTCGATCATGTGGTCTGGATGCAGACTGGACTCCCGACTATTGAGTGGTGGTTCATATGTTCTCCTAAAGTCGGGGTAACCCCAGCTCGATCATGTGGTCTGGATGCAGACTGGACTCCGACTGGTGGTTTATATATTCTCCCCAAGCTCTTGATTAGGCAAACCAGGGTTTCGGTTGCTCAACATGCGATTGTGTGTTGTGATCCACCCGATGACATTCCAAGGCATCCAGCCTTTGTACTTCATTGAAGAGTCTCCACTCACTGGGACCTTGTACTGGATAAGAAATTATGGATGATGCTGTACCTGGAAACCCTAACCCCATGCAAAACAGAGGTCCTCCACCCCACGGAGGTGAGCTCTACCGTGCATCACTGATGAATGGTGCCCTCCCGTCAGCAGTAAGGGTCAAACACGTACTTGGTGATGGTCCCGTCAATGTCGGAGATGACCACTTTGTCGTCCCAGTTCCACAGATAGATGGTGCCCTCGCAGCGGCAGGTGCCCTGGTACTGCGTGGTGATGCTGAAGGTGACATCGTTGGGGCCGTCCTTCAGCCTCAGGGAGACCTACGGGCAGGAGCACAGGGACCAAACAGATGAAGCTAATTCACCTGAAGGACCTTGTAGGCTAACAGGCCTACGAGCATGATGAGTGCCGTTATAAGGTTCTCACAGTCCACCAGGACAGCTTTCAAGAGGTGCACCACTACATCTCCCCTGAAATGTCCCATATTAATCCTCAAAAAGGTGGAGATTTACCACCACCACCACCCCCCCCCACTCCACCAATTTCGTGGATCTCAACTATAACAGTCACAAAGAAATAAACACATGGATGGTAATACATAGCCACAGCAAGATGGACAGTTTTCCCATCATCTTACAATAGAGAACTAGCCAACCAGCCTCTGGTTCAGGGTGATTTGCGATTGGCTTGCAGGCACCTGTGAGCTTTGCTATTGGTTTCTATGCTGGGAAGGACTGGGCCTTACGATCTGCTCTGAGGAAAGTCTCAGAGACTTCTTATAGGCACGGGCAGCGGGAGGCTCCTGGTGTCCAGGTGGTCTGTGGTCCGGCCTGGCAGATACGTCCTTGTTTTGGGGTTCCTCGTCACTGGAGTCCCTGGCTTGGGCCCTGCAGGGTGCAAAGATGCACGGGTCACCAATGCTGGCTGACAAATACATGATGAATTACTTAATTATTCAAACAGGTAGGATCAGTTCACCAACCTTCAGGCACCGCAGTTCTACATAATACCAATAGAGGGCAATCATCTCACTCATTGTAGAGGTAGATGACACAACATGACAAGCAGGCCAATGAGACTCAATCGATATAAATAAAATGTCTAATTCTGCTGCCCCAGGCTGGCCCTAGAAGAAGCCCCATGTTGAGAATGCTGACAGTTCAGTTGTCATGGAAATGGATGACATCACAGTGAGACGATATTAACTTACTGGGAGGGGGGGCTTGGCTGCATGGGGGAGGGCTCCTCTCTACCCAGGGACTCCTTCGACTCCAACTTAGTCTCTGACTGGAGACAGGAAACGACAAGTGAAGGGAAAGACCAGCCACTCTGACGCACTGACTGAATGCAGGAATGAATTAAAGAATTTAACGCTGGTGCTTTTTTTTAAGGAATGCAGTGAAGGGATTTATGCATCCAGCACAAGTAAATGACATAGTGAACTCAGCTGGAACACAGAGCCACCTATGGGTCACCCTATACAACTTAAAACAAACTAACAATACAAAAACTATCCTTGTAAACCGATTTCTAGCAGAGGACCAGCACTTAAGCTGCCATGAACACCCAAGGTTGACACTCACAGCCCATGCGGCACTACCTGCTTGGAGGTGACATCGGCCCGTTTCCGCCAGAACCACCACCCTCCAGACTTTTTGGGCATCTTCTCCTTCACCCAGGTCTCCACGGTGCTCTGGAAGGCAGGGCAAGGTGGACCATCACATGGGCATAAATTGCAGAGGGCAGGCCTTCACACAATCAGGGCAGCAACATACCTTAGGCAAGCTCTTCTGGAAGGCCTGCAAGCTGAGCACCAATGGGGCAGCCAAAGTCCAGTTGTAGTACCTGTGAAAATTTAACCCAGTATCCAGAAATACACACCAAGCCTCTTACAATCATTGAGAGCCTTTAAAGCAAGATTACATACCTGTTCCCGATTTTGACAACCAGGTTGGGATTATCGATGATACTGGGGTTTTCCACGAACTCATGATATTTAATGATATGCTGCAAAAATTTCTCTACAAAACAAAGACATAAAAAGACCCTGGAGGAAAAAGGCATTGCTATGGTCTCCATAGCCAGGGCAGCCATAGGTAACACGGACACCTCAGAGTCACAGACACGTACCTTTGCAGATGTCTGCATTCTCGCCGAGTCCCCCGCACAGCGATAGCGTGACCTCTGTCAAGTCACTGGCGGAGTCGGAGAGGCATTCGGTCCCACTGTCGGCCCCCACACAGCTCACTGACTGGGGTGGCTCCGCCCACCGCACAGGCTCCGCCCACTGTCTAGGACCAGAATCCACCTGGCTGCCATGAGTGGAGAGGATAAAGATCTGCCATTTTCCAAGACTCGCACAGCATTCAGCTAGTGGCCAAATATCAATGATCAGATAATCCTCCTTACTGAACCATTTCATTACGAATTACTTTCCAGGCTTATACTGCTGAATGATTATGGTTGCATCTGAAGGTACTGAAACACCTAGTGGGACTCAAACCTATCCTTCTTGTCACAGCTCCAGTCTAAACCTAATTTACTCAAAACCCATTTACTGAAGAGCAAAACATTATAATGGAGAGGCCGTTCAGCCCAGTCATACGTTTAATAAGTAAAAAAATAGTAGGTTAACCCTCTGCAGTCTGTGGCCTCTCAGCCACCTTCGGGGTAGTCTGACATGCCTTGACATTTTAAAATATTTCACCTGTCCAAAAAGCATTTATCCCAAAGTGTTACATTTGCTTTTATTCAACACAAACTCAGCACCAACAATCTGAGACCACTTAAAATGTTATTCTATTTTTTGTTAAAATCAACTTTAAACATATGCTTTTCAAAAACCTATTTTCAGACATGCTTAGAAATTGTAAAAAATCACATTATAGACATTTCTAGGTAAGACTTTTGAGCTCTGAAGCTTATAGACACAGGGGTTGGCTACACATAGGTGAAAGTGACATTCTGAAATTTTATGTAGTTTGATTACTAAAGTGTTAGCACTTTAGAGTGACACTTTTTTTCTCAAAGTCAGTGGCCTTCGCAATGAATATTGATGAGATAGGTGTCCTCACACCTGTAGTAGTTTGCATACTGTCAATGGCCCATCAGTCTGGAATGTCACTGCACCCCACACCCATCACTTTGGAAAGGAAATTTCAAACGCAAGAAAAGTAGCAACAATAAAATCCCTTTCACAGTTTATTGGTAGATGGAGTGAAAAATGAAAAACTGCGACCATATAAATATGATGCATAATTCACAAAATAATTCACTATTATTAATGCTCTGGGGACGAGGGCATCGTTGACCACATATCTTTCTCATGTATTTCAGTTTATATCTCGCTGAAATCATTATGTAGAATCATGAAAAAAAAACACAAAATCCATAATGCATCTTCTTTTCAAAACTTCCATTGTCGGAAGTATTAAAGTTTTTAAAATTAGGTTAAATAGGCAAAAAAGCAAATCGTGTCACCTTTCTTTGTTTTACTTGTATTGGGAGCGTGTAGGACCGCTCTCAGCGGAAGATCGCTATTCACGTTCTAAATACGCTGCGTTTGAATCGGCGACCACGTGATTGCAGGCACACAGGCTTAGCCCACTGAGCTATGAACACAGGTATGAGCTTCGCTGCTGAAAGTGGCAACACTGGCGCAAAGCTTCAGCGGCAGAGACGTATCCGTGTGCTATATTGTAGCCGATCAGTGTAAACACTACCCAGACATGTGCTCTTGTTAATTTCGGTCACAATGGGCGTATTCACATATTTCTTCACCCAATACCAACTGTCGGATTATCATGTTATCATGCGAATAGCGCGATTTGCAAGTGGGAAGACGATCAGAGCCGCTTCGAGACGCTGACGCTTCAGTCAGTCACTCTTGTTCTTTCTATTAGTATCATGAAGCTGTAAAAATATATTTAGTTTCTACCTATATATATTTGAAAAGTAGACCGTCCAAGGTTTCTGAGGGTGTTCTTTAAAATGATCAAAACCACTCACCTCCTGGGGAAGTAGCGGGCAGCCACATCCGGGCCAAGCTCCTTCAGGTCATCCAGGTATATGTCCTCGGGGCCCTGGTGCTCACTCCGCTTTGGGACCCCTGTTTGGGGGGGGGGTTGGGGAACGGCAGAAACATTGGGCACAGCACTAAGGATTCCTGCTCACTGCGAACACAGGAAAAGTCAGGAACCTGCTAGCCTGAATGCTCAGGTCCTGCACCTCCAACTTGTGGGCTGAAGCTTTGAAGCCCTGGAAATGGATTTTAGGGTTTTGGACTTCACTGGAGTTGGGAGACCTGGCATCTGTGTGCCCTGTGATTGACGGGCACCCCACTTCAGGGTATGCCCCAGCCTTGTGCCCTGCACTGGCTCCAGGCTCACTGTCACCCTGCACTGGATAACTGATGGCGCCAGGGTGACGGGTAAGAGAATGGAGCAGGGAGTCACCTTTCTTCTTGGAGGAGGACTCGCTGACAGGGCAGGCAATGGCCTTCGGTGGCTCAAGGAACTCCTTTGGCAGGCCCTTTAAGTTATAAATGGGGAGGGGTCTGTCATTTGTGGACTCTCCCACTCTGTGTAACCTTCTGCCATATCCATCTTCTCATACACACACACACACACACACACACACACACACACACACACACACACACACACACACACACACACACACACACACACAAAGTGGCAGTCCTCACCCAGGTGGATTCTGGGAGCTCGCCCCATGCCCACTCGATGTGGGACTGCGCCCTCAGCAGGCTGTCGGAGGTCTTCAGTTCCAGCTCCGAGTCACTCTTCGGTGAGAACGTCTGTGGTCCGGCCAGACTGTGGTGGCACATCAGGCAAGCGGTCACAGACACGACAGACAGAGCTGCCCGGCCTGCTTCGCTGCAAAACCGCGACGGTAACTCATGGTTCACTGGCTGTTGGCCGGCTGTTGCCATGGTAACAGCCATTGGTAAGGATCTCACACACAAGAAATGAATAGGTCTTGAATCTTGGCCCATTAAGGATAATGCAGGGCTTTGATTCTAGGCTCTTCAGAAAGAAAGGTGACACAGACAGCGAGCACACCTGTGAGCGGGGACACAGTCCCCATCCGAGAGGGAGTAACTGTCCAGCGACTCGTGGATGGACTGTTTGTGCTCCTTCATCAGGCTGAGGGACACCCTGGTGAAAATAAAAAGCAGAACACACCTCTGACACTCCCCCAGTCACCCAGACACACCTGCATGATGGGATACCATCTCAGCCCATGCAATATGTTACCTTGCACTCTGCATTGCCTGGTCCTCATCAGAGCTGAGGTCCATTTCAAAGATTTCCTCCCCACCAGCAGGGGGCGCCGGATCCTCCTTCCGATGGTCCGCCTTCAGCTTTTTCCTCCTTCGCTTCTTCTTCCTCGCCGAGGCCGTGCTTGGCAGTGGGTCCTCACTGCCGTCTCTGTGCTCGCCAGGGGCCCGACTCCACGGCCACTCCGGCTGCCCAAGGCCTTCAGGATCCGATGACACTGACCGTGGCTCCTGTCGCTTGAACGCAGGGTCTTCCATGAGTTCGGAAACCTGGTGGATGGGGACAGTCTCCTAGGCAAGCAAGACAAGCACATGACAGGATGAGCCACATCAGAGAAAAGTTTATTCCACAAAGTTCCTCTGTTCTTCCAAACCTGCTCATGGTCTTTCATAACTTCTAGTTTCTCCACCAGCTGATGGATCAGTGGGTCGGCCAGGCCTTGTGCAGCCATGTGACCATATCAGCTCAGGCTCAGATTTGAGGTCCCCACCCCCTCCGTCTTGCCCAAGCAATACCTGAACACCTTTGTGGAACATCAACACTCACATTTTGCTTCTCTATCTCCTCCACGAAGAAGGCCTCACCACTGTCTCCCAGCATCATATGCAGATCCACAGGCTCACCATTGACTTCGATATCAATCTGGGGAACCAAGGACAGATGCTTAAGGGTTAACGACCAGGTCAGCAGGGTATTTGGGGACAGGGTGAAACAGAGAAGACACCTTCGAGTCAGCTAGGTTTAAAGACACAGCCTGAATATACTCAGGATGAGTCATGTTCCTAACTCAGCCCGCAGACTGACAGCCTGAAAATACTCAGGATGAGTCATGTTCCTAACTCAGCCCGCAGACTGACAGCCTGAAAATACTCAGGATGAGTCATGTTCCTAACGCACCCCGCAGACTGAGCCCGTATCACTTACTCCCTGTGGTGTGAAACGAAAGAGCTGAGATTACAGGATTCTTCCAGAAAGCTGACACATTAGAGACCATATATCCTGAAGATGGTTTAAGATTGATGATTAATTATCCAGCCGAACATTTCAATGAGACCACAGGCATGCTAATTTTGCGGGAAAACAACAAAGATAATAACTCTTGAATGATATCTTGTAATCCCATTAGCTTCCATGATTTTTTTCTGCAACCATACTCCCAGCCACCAGAGGGCGCATCCACAGCTGACTATTTTCATTTTCATGGAAAGACTGAGGCGCCTGGAGGCCTTGGCCTTGCCTACTTTACCCAATTGATCTTTGTGCTGCTCTGCATTTCAAAGGCAAATCCAGCCACTCATGGTCAAGAAAGGCAATAAACTTACTTGATGTCAGAATGAAATCTAATTCATTCAGCACTGAAACAGAACACACATTCTAGGGCTCCACGAAACCATCTATCAAAATGTCACTGTCCCTAGAGGTTACTTTTTGAGCCTCACTGAACAGCACAGCAGCGTAAACCAACTGTAACCTAACCTAAATAAACAATATCTATATATAGTCATGTTTAGACTTGCATCATCTTCTGTGGCTGACCCTACAGGAGCCGTCATTCACTGTGCAGGAAAAAGCAGTCGTCATGGAGACCAAAAGGCATCCAGAAGTTCAAAGAACGAGTCCCAAACCTTAACGACACTCGACCGTCGCCCAGGGAGACGGAGGAGCCAGCATATCCTCCGCCTACTAAATTTAGCAAGGCTTTTCCATACAGAAAATAACGGGCCTACATGTGATGATAATTAGCAACTTTTAAATCCCTGCCCCCTTCAGGTCATGCTCCGCCCACCTGTGTCAGGCCCCACCCCCTCATGTTCACATGACTCTCACCAACTTCTCCTTGGAGTGCAGCACTCCCAGCTTTCCGAAGCGCACGTGAAAGGGGGAGCACTGGTAGGAGCCGTCCTGCTGGTGCACCACCACGACGTCGATGCAGCCTGATAGCGTGGCCGGGTTGATGCCCTTGTACAGCTCCCGCACCGTCACCAGTACCTGGCCCGCCAGGTGGCCCACGTAGTTCATGGTGTTCGCCTGTGGGGGCAGCAGAGAGGGGATGGAAGTAACGGGATGCCTCAGGGTCGTCCAATCAGAGGTCGGGACGACACTCCTCCAGAACACCTCCAGAAGGTCAAGGCTCAATTTCTCAAATGACACGCTCCTCTAGTCGCTGCCGGTCACGCGAATATAATAAAGCTCACAGAACCACGTCAAAGGAGGTGAAGAGATGTGACTATGGGCACAGGCTGCTGTGACGTTTATTAGAGTGGAGAGAGACTGCTGATGGAGCACCGGGAAAATGCCAGGAGGATGAAGAGGGAATGCTGACAGAACATTTAAGTGACACCATAAAAACTACACAACCTTATATAAATTCCCTAACAAACACACACACACACACACACACACACACACACACCTGCGTTTTCACTGATATGCACTTTAAAGCTGGAAGTGAAAGTTGACACTGATCACAGGGGGACACAGTCCCAGAGGCGTCCTTCTACACCCCTGTGACACCAACAGCCGAGTGTCTTCACAGCCCACCCAGGCCTAGCAACCCCACACCAAACCTCCACCGGAGGGCGCTGTCATTGACCTCAGAGCCCTGGTCACCGTGCACATAGTACTAACACAGCTGCACTTTTACCCAGTGACTACACAGAACGTAAAAGCACATATTTACTTGAACGCACAGAACTATCACTGCTTATCTTAATTATCGGATTCTTTTCACATTTTCCTCGTTAATTTTTTTCCTTCGCTCTTAGCATCATAGCACTGTGGTGCTCACCAGAGTCCAGGATGCTTTCCTAGGCGAGACCTCACCCGGCTCGTTGCCACCCCCCTCGGGACCTTCCCTGGGGGGTTCCGGCTCCCCCCGGTGCTGGGTCGGCTTCATCGCACCCCGTTCCTCCTCGTCTGCCGGCGGCCGGCCACAGTCGCCGTGCTCGAACGCTGCAGCGCTGTTTGACCTTCCTACCATCCGCCACAAGACGAACCATCCCAGCCTCGCGGGCGCACCTCTGTTTACGTGAGAGCCCCCCCTCCCCCCCATGTCACACCGGTAGCCAATGGGATCAGCCCGGGGCCGACAGCTTCGGCGTGCAAGATAAGAGGCTGGCTGCGCTGATAACGGCCAGGCCAGGCAGCTCAGCACCCACCAGCCACGTGCCCCCCCCACCCCCGCTCACAGAGGCACTGAAACGCGCGCCAGACAGAGGGATACAAAACAGCAAACGGCTAAATCGATACCCCACCCAGCAGAGTGAACTGGAACGTGTCAGCAGGCACACGTATGACCTGGGTTCATCATCCCCGGGGGCCAGGCCACTAGCGCTTTGGTGGCCCCCCCCCCCGGGCTCGCCACCCATCACGGTTCCAGCACCTTCACCATGCATCTCTAAGCTCTCCTGGATCTTCGGTAACTCCGCCTCATGCATAGGACAGCCTTGGCCGTAGCGGAGCCAAAAGCCGTGAGTGACCCCAGAGATATTACACATTGACTGAAGCAGATTCTAAGTCAAACCCTGATTTCTGAAGGGTCTCAGAGGTTTCGGAGTTGGGGGGGGTGATAAGGAGTTGTGCTGCATTCCATTGAAATGGAAATTTCACCTAGAGCGCCCCCTGGCGTTGGAAACCCCACTCGGAAAGTCAGAGGAATCTACACAGCCCCAAGCTCAGCATTACAGATGGCTGTACTTTTATAAACCAAAGTTAAAGCTGTAGTTTCTTGCTGTTTATTAGCACTTACATCTTATTTGCGTCTCATTAAATCTGTGTTACACACAGTACTGTCCAACCACTATCTGTAGACGTGTTTCTATGGTGTTTTTATGCACGAAATATCATGAAATGTGTAATTATCCACTAATATTGCTAGCAACGGCTAACAATTAACCAGGATAGAACTGGAGCCCATTTCATTAAGCAGGATTTCTTGCTCAGCCGGATAACTTTTCAGATTTAAGGTGGTCTGGGCTAAATGCAAGAGAAAGAAGATAAAGGCCGATTAAACTGCGCTAAATTAAATCCGACAAGCTAAGCAAGAATCTTGAAAAACGAGTCCCTGGTATTGCCAAACGGCTTTCTGACTTGCTGTACTGGATCGCAGGTAACTCAGGTATAACGTCATTCCCAGCTCCGACTTCCGACTTCTGCGCTAAATGGAACGCAGCATTAGTAGCAGCATTAGTAGCTGAAATACGACCCCAGTAACACAAGGGGGCGGAGCTCCATGAGTATTGTTACACTTGGGCTGCCAGCTCGCCACCCAATGGGAAGATGTGATAGAATCACCGCCCCCTGAGATCCGTCCACAGGGCAGGTCAGGTTCAAGGCTGCCAGCAGGCAAACAGCAGCTCTCCCGCACGAGAGCGGGTCGCCCTCCGGTGCCGAGGTCGGAGTCTCCGCCACTCTGAGCCGCGGCTACACAGGCAGCCTGGCGGACGAGTGAATCGGAGTATAACTCACCGAGGCCAGGAAGCAGGTCATGGGGACCGTCTGGAGCTCCTGACCTGTCCGGGTCATCTATTTATGCTGCTATTCCATTAGTTACAATTATTTATTTAGTGCATGCTTTTGTTCAAAGTGACATACCAACAAGGCAGGCATTTAGAAAATCCACACGTAAACAAAATGCACCGCAACACACAGTGCCGGGGGCGAGGGGGGGTTAGCCTACAGCCCTGAGGTGTGACTGTATTGCATTGGTCCTATTTTAAAATATACACACACCCAGTGACAGCAGGACAAAAAGCACCTCATCTTGGTCTCATCACCCCACAGCCCAACTCGGGGCTGCGGTTCACAGGGGACATGAGCCCACAGCCCAACGCGGGGCTGCGGTTCGCAGGGGACATGAGCCCACAGCCCAACGCGGGGCTGCGGTTCAGAGGGGACAGGACCCCACAGCCCAACGTGGGGCTGCGGTTCAGAGGGGACAGGACCCCACAGCCCAACGTGGGGCTGCGGTTCACAGGGGACATGACCCCACAGCCCAACGCGGGGCTGCGGTTCGCAGGGGCATGACCCCACAGCCCAACGCGGGGCTGCAGTTCGCAGGGGACAGGACCCCACAGCCCAACGCGGGGCTGCGGTTCGCAGGGGACAGGAGCCCACAGCCCAACGCGGGGCTGCGGTTCACAGGGGACATGCCCGGGAGTTTCCACAACCCCTGGCAATGCTCCGACACCAGGGGAGTAGTTAGAGATGAATGGATAGGGGGGCTGAGTCTTTATTTGGGGGGGGGCAAGGCCCCCCTGAAACAAGCCTAAGACACCCCTGCCCCACACCATGAATTAGGCTACATCTCAGGTACAAAAAAAGAAAAAGAAAAATATTACTCATTTAGTTACTCTAACTGGACTTTGGACTTTAACTGTCAAAACCGAAAGGCTGTAGAATTTTATAACGGGGTATAAAGCCCACGTAAGGGGAAATGACGCGAGACTAAAGTGGAGCTGTGTCCGCGAAAGCAGCTGGATAAATTATTTACAGACCGTGGTGTAAGAACGTCGCTGCCGGCTCCAGGGACAGCGGCTACTGACGGTCCGCCCTGTTCTCAGATCAGCTCGGCGGCCCCCCAGCTGGCCCCTTAAGGGCGGCTCTCCTGCTGCCTTTTCACTGAACACGTTTTAATTAGCACCTGCCTGACAGCTGAAAAGGCCGAGCGGGCCAGTGTGCTATTAAACTGTAGAGGAGAGAGAAATCACTCTCCGGCTGGCAGGAAGCGGCGCTGCAGATTAAGCATATTATGCTGTTTACATGGGGATTTCCCTGGTACTGCACTACACATTTGAAAAGCATTCAGCTATTCTGCAAACTTAAAATTGTCCCTTGATGTATTACCGTCCCATCCAGGGTGTATTAATTGCGCTTCCTTTCATAAGCACTGATCACCACAATTATAATTACATAGGTGTAAAACTGGACAAACTGTGACGTTTTGCTTGAACTAGAGTACGGACAGGTTTGGGAAATAACAGTACAACACTGCACCAAAAAAACACTTCAGATTTACAAAGAGATCAAGTAGCATTTAGGCTTAAATTTTGAGCAGTCAGTATATCGACATAATTCAGGCTATAGTCCCTAAAATACTACGCCTCCCGATGTAAGGGTCCAGCAATGCAGCAAAGGTTTGCATTGAGTTATAATGGAGCTTGTCTGAACACTTGTATGTGGGCAGCATGACGTGGCGGATCGTACCCCCCCACCTCACTTTCCTTCTCGGTGCAAAATAGTTTCACCACATAGGTGTAAAAAAAACCCGACAACTGTGAAATGCAAAAAAAGCCACAGTTCGGACCCCCGTAAACTCGCCCATGCCTGGCTGGATTATTTTTGATACCTGACTGCTGAGCTGGCATCGAGGCGGTCGGCACTCGCTAACTAAATCTTCTTCACTGGCCTGGGATCAGTTTTGCAGCTTTTTAGATGTCGCATGCAACAGAATAACCGGCAAAATGGAAACGGATGTTACTACACAAACCGATAGTGGATCAGAAACAGAAATGGGCAAATTGTTCGTGCAAACTAACCAGCTGCCGGAAAACAGCCACAAAATCGCCACCACCGAACGATCCGGACTAATCAAGGACTAAAAAAAACAACAAGGGGTTAAATAATAAGCAGATCGCGAATGAGACAACTTACACGGCTCGATAAAACACGATTTAGACTCCAAATGGCGCCGGCCGGCCGCTCCGGTCACCGCCGGTGAGCAGAGGAACAAGCAGCCGTTTTCGGAACACTTACCGAGGTGCTGCGGTGCCTGTATTTCGTTTCTCTCCCCTTTTCCCCCAGGGCCCCAGAAGCCCGTATGGCACCGCTTTCCCCGCTGCCAGCACCGGGCAGGCTGCCCTGCCCCCGTTACACCCCCATTCATTCGCGGGGTGGTTCATTCAAGCCCCGATCGCCGGATCCGGTTACATCCCGCTGACGGTGACAATAAAAGCGCCGTCAATTAAACCCGATAATTAAGCACTGACGTTATGAATGGAGCCCGCTAAATTAAGCTCTTAATGTCGGATATTATAAGCTGTAAATTAAAGTAACGGGCTATGTCTGACTTGTATGAAATATATAAATCTATATTTTTGTAAGAAATATTTATATTGTAATAAAGAAATTAAAACAAGGAGTAGCTATTACAAGCGTGAGATTTTAATAGGCCTAATATATTGTGAGCTTTAAAATTGCAAAGTATTGTTAAGTTATATATAATGAAAACTTCCTTAAAACTTATTTAAAATGCAACCCAGAGAACACTTCCCAAACCTGCTTTGTCGTCGTCACACGTTGAGCCTTGTACTACCCATTCGGTTTCACCACGGAAATAAAAGGAGACCTCTGCCTGGAACTAGACTGTTCAATTCAATTATATCTTTTATATATAGTGCCTTTCAAAACACAGTTGCCAAGGCGCTTGATGAGGATGTGTGGCAACTCATTACTACATCTTTACAGAATGGTACATGAAAAAGGGAAGATGGAAAGAAAGTATGAAAGAAGAAAAGCCAGAAAACAATGGAGAAGAGGAACCAAAAACTCCCAAGTAGGGAGAAAAAAACCTTCTGCGAGGTCTCATTTAGAAATGGACAGATGAGGATAGAGGAGTGTGTAGAGGTGAGAGGGGACAAGGAGGGCACACAGTGACAAAGCAACATGGACAGTGTTTATTAGCCTTTGCACAACAACTGGCCAGAGGACAGTAACACAGGATGTGTCTGCATTTCTCAGCTGGACAAAATAAGAATGTGGTCAGCTGACTTCCCTGTTGGCATAAACTCGGACATCGTCTTCACTGGGGATTCCATCAGCTTTTTGCTAGAACAGGACCCCATATACATTGAGCACTGTTGTCCTACGGGATTGTGCAGATAATTGGTTTAAGGGCACACACATGGAAAGCTAAGTGACCTGCCACTTACGACACTGGGGACAATTTCATGATTTATAGTGGCCCTGTAAAGTGGCACAGTGGCGTTTTAGGGCTAGTAATACGAAAAGGTCAAGTAAAAGACCTTCAAAAATAGAAAATAGTACTCCCAGTGTCATGTACAGCATTAGCATTGTTAGCAACAAGGCAGCTCTTTGTTCAGCTAAAAGGGGGCTACAGCGATGTGGGGGGGACTTACTCTAAACTTGACTACAAATTTCCAGTTAGGCTTTTTAGTCTAGTGCCAGCCCAGTATCTTCACTTTTAAACTCAACAGGATTGACAGCTCACGATACAGATACCTTCTTAAGGTTCTTAAAGGGAAAAGGTATCGCTGGACTAGACAAAAAAAGCACTTAAATCCATCAGGCTCTACTTTCTACGTATTGTTTTTGTTTCTTTTGTTTTATTCCTACTTCTCCTTCTTGTCTTTCTTTTCTTTCTTGTCCTTTTTGTCTTTCTTCTCATCCCCCTCTTCCTCAGCCTCCTCGCCCTCGGGCATGTAGACGCTCACGGTGAAGTTGCCGTACTCCGTGCCGTACTTGTTCTTCACCACCAGGCTGTACTTGCCCGAGTCGACAGTGGTGACGGCGGCAATGGTGATGCTGGCAAACTTGCCCGCCTCGAACTTGAGGGCGTAGTGTTCGTCTGACACCAGCTCCTTCTCGTTCTTCATCCACATCACCTCAGGCGCCGGATTGCCCCAGATGTTTCCAGTGAGGTTGAGGGACTGCGCAGCACAGGAGAAGACCAGAGTCATGTGGTCCATGATAGGGGACAACATGTGACTTCTTACGTCACCAACCCAAATACAAGGTTACCTTGCCTTCCTGGATGGTGACCACATCTGGCAGCCCACCGACCACGCGAGCGCGATCTAGAAACAACGTTACACAGAACAATCAGAGAGATTGTGGCATGGGTCCATTTGCAGCATTCAAATAAGGCTGTCCAAATGCCTACTGGTTTTAGTACCATCATCCCTTTTGGTTCATGAAAAGTTCCCTCCAAGAGGGAGGTTATATGCAAACTAGCTACTTGAATAAACAACTAGCTATATAAATGTAACACTTTCCAAGATTTCCACTCCGCGTAATATTGCATTTAGGAAAATGAGTAATATTAATCCTGACATCTTCTCATCTGCTGTAAATGACCTCCCTTGTACCCATAGCATATCTTCCCCTGATGAACTGGTCTCATATTATAATTCCGAACTCCATAACCTACTTAATACATTTGCTCCAGTCAAACTTCGATCAGTCTCATTCACTCGCTCAGCTCCATGGTTCACTCCCACTTTGCGCCATCTTAAAGCTAAAGGACGCCAACTGGAACGCCTCTTCAAGAAAACTGGACTCACCATACACAAAGAACTGTACAATAATCATTTTCTGCTTTATAAGAACTGCATTGCCTCAGCCAAATCCACATACTACTCTGGTTTAATCTGCTCTAGTGAATGTAACCCTAAGTCTCTTTTTTCTCTGTTTAATAATATTACTAGGCCTCCGGACTTTTTTCCCTCCCATATGTATTCCACTGATTTTTGTAATTTTCTCATGTCCTTTTTTACATCGAAAATTTCTGATATCCACCAGCAACTTTTTGTAAATGGAACTGAAGCTCCTGAAGCAGACTCTCTGCCCCCTTTTCAGTTTCCCTGTCAGTCATTTACAAGCTTCACTCTCCCTTCCATAAATGACATATCTGTAATTATTCGGAAATCTAAATCGTCCACCTGTCCGCTCGACCCTCTACCCACTACTATGGTTAAAACCTGTCTCCCCTCCCTGGCCCCCCTAATTACCACCATTGTTCACTCTTCCCTTAACATTGGAATTGTCCCTCCATCACTCAAAACTGCTTCTGTTACTCCAATTCTTAAAAAACCAGGTGCAGATCCCAATAACTTCGGTAACCTTCGTCCTATATCAAACCTCCCTTTTATTTCAAAAATTCTTGAGAAAGTTGTTGCCTCCCAGCTTCACTCACACCTCAGTAACCATAACCTCTATGAACAATTCCAGTCTGGTTTTCGCCCCCTCCATAGTACAGAAACAGCATTACTAAAAGTCACCAATGACCTCCTAATGGCGGCTGATTCTGGCCTTCTCACCATTCTCATCCTCCTAGATCTGACCGCAGCCTTTGACACTATTTCTCACAACACTCTTCTGAATAGATTATCATCCATTGGCATCAGTCATACTCCCCTTGCTTGGTTCACCTCATATCTCTCTGGCCACCCTCAGTTTATCCAACTCAAATCTCACTCCTCACGTTTATTCCCCATTTCAGCCGGTGTTCCCCAGGGTTCAGTATTGGGGCCTCTTTTATTCATTATTTACATACTACCACTCGGCCATATATTTCGGAAATTTAATATTAATTTTCACTGTTACGCTGATGACACCCAACTCTATATCTCCTCTAAACCTAGCTGCTCCTTTCCACCATCTTCCCTCTCAGACTGTCTAATGGAGATTAAATCATGGTTCTCCTCTAACTTTCTCAAACTCAATAGCAATAAAACTGAAGCTCTACTCGTTGGTACAACTTCCACTCTATTCAATTCCCATAGTTTTTCCATCAATATTGATAATTCCACTATACACCCCTCCACCCAGGTTAAGAGTCTGGGCGTCATCCTAGATAGTACTCTTTCATTTCAGTCACACATTAGTCATATCACCCGGTCTGCATACTTACATCTGCGCAACATAAACCGACTCCATCCCTTCCTCACTCCCCATGCTGCTGCCATCCTTGTTCATAGCCTCGTCACATCTAGGATTGATTACTGTAACTCTCTTCTCTTTGGTCTCCCTAACAAGTCCCTCCGTAAACTCCAACTCCTTCAGAATGCTGCAGCTCGGGTAGTAACTCGTACCCCCTCCAGGGAACATATCACCCCAGTCCTTCAACAGCTTCACTGGTTGCCCATAGAAACTAGAATAGTATTCAAAATTCTAGTTCTCACTTTCAAATGCATTTACAAGCTCGCCCCTCCCTATCTGTCTGGCCTGCTTCACATTGCCACCCCATCCCGAACTCTCAGATCTTCATCTTCCACCCATCTTATTGTTCCGTCTGCCTGCCTTATCACCATGGGACACAGAGCTTTTAGTTGCTCTGCTCCCCGTCTTTGGAATTCACTTCCAGCGGATATCAGACATATCGATTCTCTTCACTTGTTGAGGTCAAACCTCAAAACTGTTTAAGTTGGCTTATTCACGTTAGATTGTCTGATTATGTAAATAACTTTTTAATTATTTGTTTTTTATTTGTTTTATTGTTTGTTTTTATGGACTATGTAAGGTGACCTTGGGTTTTAGAAAGGCGCCCACAAATAAAATGTATTATTATTATTATTATTATTGAGTATGGTGATTGTTTTATTAGAGACTTTTTGTTGAGCTCTGGGATGGCTGACTTACTTTTTTCTGCAATGGCAGCAGCCCTGAGAGAAACAAGAACATAAACAGGTAGTTAGACGGTGTGATAGTCATTCCTAATGTCCTATACAGGCTGAATCAGTGAGGAGTATTAGCATGCTCAGAATCAGAGAGGAGTATTAGCATGCTCAGAATAGGTGAGCGGTATGAGCATGCTCAGAATCGGTGAGCGGAATGAGCATGCCCAGAATCGGTGAGCGGTATGAGCATGCCCAGAATCGGTGAGCGGAATGAGCATGCCCAGAATCGGTGAGGAGTATTAGCATGCTCAGAATCAGCGAGGAGTATTAGCATGCTCAGAATCGGTGAGCGGAATGAGCATGCCCAGAATCGGTGAGGAGTATTAGCATGCTCAGAATCGGTGAGCGGAATGAGCATGCCCAGAATCGGTGAGGAGTATTAGCATGCTCAGAATCAGCGAGGAGTATTAGCATGCTCAGAATCAGTGAGCGGTATGAGCATGCTCAGAATCAGTGAGCGGAATGAGCATGCCCAGAATCGGTGAGCGGTATGAGCATGCCCAGAATCGGTGAGCGGTATGAGCATGCTCAGAATCGGTGAGGAGTATTAGCATGCTCAGAATCAGCGAGGAGTATTAGCAAAGGCATCAGGGGCAATGTGTGATGTCAAGCTATACTATACTGCTATATTGAAGCCTTTTTATTACTACAGAGTGTAAATAATGTGTGGGTTTGTAATTTGTATATCTGGATTGATGATAAAATGCATGTCAGTGTTTTAGGACTCAAATCATGAAAAGACAGTTCCAGTTTTACAGCTTCTGGGATAATTTCTAACCATTTTGCAAAAAAATGAGATGCATGATAAGATGCATTGATATTTGGCCCCTTAGACTTAAAAAGGCATGAGGCCAGCCACCATTCAGAAGGAGGACGGCTGAGTTCATAACCCAGACACAGAAGCCCAGCTCATCGGCCAACGTACTTCAGCCTCTGGAACTCCTCATATGCCGTCTCCCACACTGGACCGGAATCAGAGAGACACGTCAGCAAGGTTACAGGACACATGCTAATCCCCAATGAATGACTAGCAGTGCGAGTGCTCTGCGATGTCACTAATCCCCAATGAATGACTAGCAGTGCGAGTGCTCTGCGATATCACTAATCCCCAATGAATGACTAGCGGTGTGAGTGCTATGCGATGTCACTAATCCCCAATGAATGGCTAGGAGTGTGAGTGCTATGCGATGTCACTAATCCCCAATGAATGACTAGCAGTGCGAGTCCTCTGCGATGTCACTAATCCCCAATGAATGACTAGCGGTGCGAGTCCTCTGCGATGTCACTAATCCCCAATGAATGACTAGCGGTGTGAGTCCTCTGCGATGTCACTAATCCCCAATGAATGACCAGCAGCGTGAGTGCTATGCGATGTCACTAATCCCCAATGAATGACTAGCAGTGCGAGTGCTCTGCGATGTTGCTAATCCCCAATGAATGACTAGCAGTGCGAGTGCTCTGCGATGTCGCTAATCCCCAATGAATGACTAGCAGTGCGAGTCCTCTGCGATGTTAGAGAATTGCACATGTACGGCTTAGTGGCTGTGTGGTCACCCAGGACCTCTAGCATTTTCCTTACAAACTTGATAAACACAGGAGCTTAAAGCGAAGATAACAGGACATTGGGATCAGCCAGGTAACCTACCTTGTCCTGTAAGGTCCAGCACTCTCTTGACCCCATCCTTGCCATCAAAGATGTTGATGGCATATTTGCCCTTGTCCTTCTCTGTGGGCTCATTGATCTTCAGCCACAGCTGCTCCTCTGTAACGCCCCAATGGACTCTATCCGAGCGCGAGATCTTAGTATCTCTATGAGTGGAAAGATTGTAGAGGTGACATCAGAGTGTACCAAATATTACATATTAACATAGAGACACTCATACAAACATCACACACACCATTGTCCTCGGGGACTCACTGACAGTCTACAACAAACATACACATACATACATACACACAGGCTCACAACAAAGACAAAGCCGTTCCCACACACACTTGTGTAGCCAGTTTGAGGGGAGGTCCTCATTGTAGTAGACCACCGAGGTCTGGATGATGATGCCTTCAGCTGTGCTCGTCACTTGCAGCTCTGTGGATGAGTTGGCTGGACAGAGAATAACAGCAGAATGCAGTCAAATCCCTGCACTAAACACAGGAGCAGAAACCACTATGTGTTGTCAATGGTTGCATCAACTCACCAATAACTCTAAATACCTCATTCATCACCTCCTGGAAACCTGCAGTACATAAAACAAATTACAATTTATATATGGATCATCTCAGATGAAGACCTGAAGGTATTTGCCATCTTGGATACACCAGTATCTTCATTGTACACCAATATGCAAAGGTGGAGAAGGTTCAGAAAGTACAAATCCAAACCAAGATTTTGTTTCACCCAACCAGTTGAGTACTCTGTGACTGTGACTCTTTATACTTAACTGGTTGGTTGAAACAAAATCTTGGTCTGGATTTGTACTGAAATCTCCACCTCTGCCAATATGTCTTCAGAACATGCATCTATCAGATTATCTTGTGTTGAACAGAGCAGAACAATAGGGCATAAGACATTTCCTAGCACGACTGATCACCTTGTTCAATCAGGTTCAGGACACTCTTGTCCTTTCCACGGTCATCTCTCAGCTTCACTTGGTAAATCCCCGCATCCTGCTTGGAAATCTGAACACAAGCAGAGAATTGTGGGATTTAGAGCAGCGTCGCTGCTGGCATGCAAGGCTATCCTTTATGAAAGGGGGACATCGGACCGCCATTGATAGGAAATCAATGACGTTGACACTGATAGAAAAGACTAGCTTTTCTCCTGCCCTGGGTGCTGCAGGCATCACAAGGACAACGTGAAAGACCAAATCGAGACACATTCTTTTTAAACACGCATGAACCACATCCAATCAAATGGAGACTTAGAAATGTTCCCGACTTTCGGTCTTGCCGGAATCTCCTTCGGTTCAGGAAAGTCTGCATCGTCCGAGTCTTTGTCTTTTTTAAAGCGCAGCTGAAATTAGACAGATGGGTTGCATTATTGCCACAGCGAAGCGTGATGGGGGTGAGATCTGCGTTTGCTACCTTGCAAACCATGGCTTTGCTTAGACACGTCCTCTCTCCGTCCACATGACCGCGAGGAACACCTAAGCGACCCTTCCCCCCTCTTCCTTGTTCCGTGATCAAACAGGACAGGTGCAGATATTGTACGTGAGGAAGTGAATCTGGAGAATTGGTGACTGACGTGTTTGTCTTTTAAGTTTTAGATTAAAACATCTTTTGGTGTTAACATATGTTGTGGGGAAGCAGGGCAAGCGGTATGGAAAATGAATGAATGAATGAATGAATGAGGAAGCATCTAAACTTACATTGTAAAGTTTTAATTAATTTTTAAATGCCCCTAACTGAATAGCATGTGATGGGACACCAATGCAGTTAGCATGGTAGCATGAGTTGACTACTTGCCGTAGAACAATAGATCTCACCTTCGAGATGTTGAAGGTCAAAATGTCATCGATGTAGTTAATCTTTTCCTCCTCCTCTTCAATGTCCTGTTCATCCTTGGACCAGAATATTTCCGTCTCCTTCTTCATGTTCCCAACCTGCACAGAGTGAGAAAATTGTTGGAGGAGGTCAGCTTTCATCCACATTTCCAGCTAAGGTTAAGTATAAACATGGTGCACGTGTAAGGGACCAGTAGTCCTGTAATAAGGACAACAATTCTAAGTGTAGGACCTCACCTTGCATGTGAGAAGCACGTTGCATTCTGGAGTCACCTTGAAACTCAGGTATTCCACAAAATGAGGACCTGCAGACAGACACAACAACTTTCTTGTCAGTAAAGACACCAGGGACATCAAGGGGCCTTACACCTTTGACCTCAACTAACCATTTTGTTGCTATGGCAACAACATTCTCTTACCTTGTTTCCTAAACCACTCCTGTCTCCTGAACTCTGATTCCTTCTGCAATGTTTTGAAGTCTAAAAGCAACACATTCTCAGGTTATTATAGGAACTAAAATTATGATGGTATTAACATGTCTTATGGATCTGAATGCTGTGAAGAGTCTCCAGTGACGTAAACAGACAAGCATCAAGTAGAAGAAACTGTGTAAATGGGAATAAAAATGACACTAATGGTATAATTTAACGTATCACTCAAAATTCTGGACAGACTAATGATAGCATTAGGGATGATAATCACAGCTTGCTAAGGATTTTACTGGAAATGAGTCTTGAGGACTGATTAAAGGTCACGCTGTGTCCCCCATAGGAAAACAAGCCTCCTTCTCTGATTACAACAGAAGTGAGACTGAGTACCCAAGGGAGATGGAGCCTACTGTACCCTCTCCGATCAGCACCAAGCTGGAGGTGCCGGTGGCCTTTCCATCCACCAGATGGAAGCAGTATGTTCCCTCGTCCTCCAGTTCCAATGACTCCATGAACATCTCAATGATTCCAGTGTTTTTGTCAAAGTGCATTGAGTATTTCTGAAAGACATCAATGGGGTTCCTTCAGGCATAAAGTGGATTGTCTGCATCTCGGTTTCTGCTAGATTCATAAGCTGTACAGGGACTGTGTTTAGCAATAAGAGCATAAGAGGAAGAGGAACCTTTGCTTTTTGGTGCCCAGGTTCTTAGTTACTCACTGCAGCATTCACATCGCAGACCTGGCACAGTGTGCGACGAGGTTTTGGCCACTTACCTCGCCCTGGGTGAGCGGGACGTCATTGAACACATAGTCCACCTTGCAGTTGGCCGTCACTTTCTCTGCCTGCAGCCAGAGACGCACCCTGCCCTTTTCCAGCAGTTCCACAGCCAGGTCAGATGAGAAAGGAATAGCTATATAAGAAATGGAGGGCACAGAGGAAGGTGTGGGCTTAGCATAAGGAAGACCCATCTCACATTCACACAGAAATACTAAGCCCCTCTTTCACATACGCTTGGTTTGCTTCTTTTCTGCCAGCTGCCCAATACCTTCTAGCATATTGAGTAACTGGCAAGTAACAGACAAATGACTAATGATTTCCTTTGTCCATCATTGTTGATAGCGATTACTTGATGCATGATACTCACTGGGGAACTTGTGGTCATGGCTGATCTGCAGCAGACGTTTCATTTCTGTTAGATCAGAGAACCAAAGTCGGGTTCATACACAACACACATCACTATTAGGATTATGTGACTATCAAGAACAGACTCTGGCAACCTGTCGCTCCTGTCAACTTTTTGGAAAACATCATCTGAACATTCTTAAGGAAGTTCCAGTTTCAGGATTTCATTCATATTGACTCACCTTTCTCATCTAAGGTGTAGCTTGATGACACCCCATCTGTGTTGGTGACCACACAAGAGTAAATCCCCAGGTCCTCCAGTGATAGGTTGTTAAAGATGACCCGTGACCTAAGGTCAGAGCAAGAGTAATCCAAGACCCTGAATCTTCATACAATCCCACCCCCGTTAATGTACTTGGTGTCTCCATAGCACCACTGGTAGAGAAGAGGAACCTTGTGACCTCAGGGAGGACTGACATTACTATTCTCAGTTTATCTTGGTTGTTTTTCTGCTTGTCTTCACTCATGGTACTAGCCCTACAGAGGCTACCAGCAATGCATCTGAGTTTTGGACCAGTGGGGAAACAAGATGTATATAAGATACTGTTACAAATATATAGACCATAAGTGTGCAACTCACCTGCCACCCGAGGTCTGCATGGCGAGGCGGGAAAGGTCTGAGATCTCCTCATAGTTCTTAGACCACACAAACTTCGATTCTGCTGTCATCTCTGAGCACTCGAAGATCAGGGATATCACACCTTCGTCATCCACATCTACCACAATCTCTTTGGTACCTAAAAAAGAATCAGATTACCCCAATTACACCTGCCTACTGGTAACTCTGCTACTATCATTGGGCTGAATCAAACTGCAATGGGCTGTCTGTACGAGGCTGACTCTATCTCTAGTCCATTCTTTCTATCTTTGTGTAGTGACTCATCCCTCACATGTACTCCCAGCAGATGAAGTTACCTCACCCATACCTGACCTGTCATAGTTCTGTAATCCAAATCCTGCTTTTCCCATGATTCCCTCCTCCATACTGTGTGAGAACCTCCATTTACTGCATATAAAGACCTTCTTCATGCTGTCAAGACTCAGCCATATCAGGAGTAATCTGATTTTAATGAGCTATATGATCGCAGTCGCTGAAGATCGACCTTCCCTGCCTAGTCAGCCCTTTATGTGGGAAAGATGGTGGCTTGGAAGTGGCAGCCTCACCCGGACGAGTCTGGGCCAGGATGGGAGGAGTGAGCTGAGACAGGTGTCCAACTCCTGCAAGGTTCTGAGCACACACACGGAACACGTAGGAGGCTCCTTCCTTCAGTCCTGCGATCTGGACACACGTGCAGATGGATATTTGTAAATGCTTCCCAAACAAAGCGCACTGAAATGTCAGCCCCAGGGTACCGCCAGAGCCCACCTCTGCCATACCTGCAGGTATCTGCTTGTGGTGGCCTTCCCGTTGATGCCCCTCCAAGCACCGTCGCCAGCTCCCGCCTCTTTCATGTCCACATAGTATCCAGTGATGCCACTGCGACCCGTGAACTTTGGTGGCTCCCACAGAAGCACCAGGGAATTCTTCCGCACCTCAGTTACATGGAGACCAATAGGAGGTCCTGGGGACAGTGTTGGGCAGCTTTTCTACACAACCCCAAACGTAAGACGCCTAAACCAACTAGTGGCTAACAGCACAACTAGTGGTTATCATATTGCCTAGCCACACCAAGCAGTCAATGGTAGAATTGGATTCAGTATTACTGATAGCTGTAGCAACATCTGCGTTTCTGAACAGGAAACGGTTGGATTATATCTGATGTAATCATATAATGCACAAAGGGTGGATAGGTCCTGGGTTTTGGTAGCATAAATGGAAACCCACCTGGCACAGTGATGGTGTATTCCTTACATTCAACTGCAACGTTAGGCACTGAGGCCTTGCTCAGACCTGCCATGTTCACTGCTCGCACCTGGAACTGATACTGCATGTTCTCCTTCAGGTTCTCTACCTGGAAGGGGAACACAGACAGGAAGTAATATTACCAAGAGCTGTAGCAGATGGCTGGAGGGGGAACTGGAACGGGAATGGGCCCCCAGTGTTGAGTCTTGAAGAACACTTTTCAGATTGCACCTAGCAGAATCAGAGAAATGTGTAGGGCGTACCTTGTAGGACCTGGCGTTGATAGCCTTGGTGTTGACCTCGTGCCAACTCCCAGGCACGCCCGCTGTGACCTTGCGCATATCCACAAAGTAGCCGGTGACCTCTGCCCCACCGTTAAGCTTGGGTTCCTCCCAGTCCAGCAGCATGGTATCCCGAACCGTTTCCACCACCCTGAGCCTCTGGGGCGGGCTAGGGGTCGCTGTGATGACAGACACTTAGGTCAGCGTACCGCGGGAGTCCCATGAGACAGCTCATGTCACTAAGGCAGACACATGATCCATGTCATTACATTAGAAAAATACTGCTAATGGAACAAATGTTGTTTTGGAGTTTGGTAGTCAAAACAAAAGAGAAAGGTCTGTGAACTGATGAGTACATGTGGGAGCACATCATGACTCTTAAATACCCACAGGGGGACAGTGTCTAGCTCAGGAGGGTAGAGATCTGCACCCCTGTCAGGAGCACCTTAACCCCAACAGCTCCAGGGCTGCTGGCTGACCATGATGGATGACTCTAAGGTCTCTGAGCCTCACTTGCATGTCTGTTTGGACCAAAAGTGTCCCTCACTGTTGGGTCCTGGTTCACCAGAGCACATAGTCTAACACAGGGGTGTCAAACTGCAGTCCTGGGGGGCCGGAGCCCAGTGTAGCTTAGTTCTTTCCCTGTTCTACCACAAATGATTCAGCTCAAGAACTGTGTGGTAATTGGCACGAGTTTGACACCCGTGGTCTAACGTGTGCTACACTTCTTACAGAGTGTGACGCAAAAGTGAGTCATTCCCATCTCTGTTTTTGGGTGCCTTCTATCTGTCAGGTGTTCTACAGCCTCTTGCATTGTCAAACCAGTGTCTAGAAAAGCAATCAGCCACCATGTGTACACTAAGGATGTAATGTCAGGGAGACTCCAGGGGGCAGTATTTCCACACTTCTCCTACCCAGCTCAACCACATGCAAGTACCGAACAGCCACATTAACAAACAATAAAAGTGTCATAACATCATGCCGTTTTCACTCCATAAGCAACAAAGAAATGTCCTCATGTTTCAGTTCGACCTAATATTTCTGCGTATCAGCGGCAGTCAGGGCCATCACTGGGGGGAGTATGTTTTCCTGGGCCCTGGACTGGGGGGGAGGGGGTGTTCGGCAAGGGGGCCCAAGGTGTTATTTTGTCAGGGGCCCCAGAAATGCAGCAGTAATTTGGTTAATCATGTTTTTGACTGCGATTTTGCACAAATCCTGAGATCTGCAGGGAAAGATGTCAGTTTTGAAATGAGTGTGTTTTTGGTTTAAAATGATTTATAGATCCTATGTACCACTGCTTTTCTGACCTCATTACCATCAGATTTCTTCTCTGGCTCCATTCAATCACTGAGAACCATCACTGGCCTCCCACAGTTTCTACTTATTGGGATGTCAAGGTACAAAGAACAGATGGGGACGCCCCCAGGACATACGTCACCTGCAGACCCGCTGACTGTGAAATCCCATTGGTTCACACTGGATCATACTGGCAATGCCCTGGTTTGTGGCACTGGATATTGTAAAATTGAGACCACGAAATGGAAGAGGACAGTCTGCGAGGAATGAAGGTTTTTAGAAAAAACTGAAAATTCTCAGAGAGATGAGACAGGGAACAGATTTCTGAGGTGTGACGAAGCCAGTTAGCTTCCAGGGTCTCCTCACCTGCAGATCCCTCCTTTGCATTTCTCACCTCTCACCATGGTGTCCCACAAAAAAAACCTAATGGGGGAGGGAGGGGCATCCAGGTGAGAGGGGTTGCACCCCTTTCATAAGCCGCACCCCTTTCATAAGGCTGTGTATAACCCCATTGGCTTATGGCGCCCCCTAGAGGATTTAACAGACATTTGAAAGTTTACAAACAGTAATTCATTCAAACCAAAAAAAGTTAAAATGGGTACAATGGAAAAAATGACTTAATATTCTCCTCACTATGGGAACTGAAGAGGTGAAAAGTAATAATGGGATTGTGTCTTACAGACGTCAGGCAGGTGACATGCAGTGGAGATTAGTGTTCAAGAGAGACAGGCAGAATTCATGCAGAGCCATTCAAGCAAGAGGGTATAGCGTCAGTGATATGAGACACCTCATACATCATAATTCCCCCGAAAATCAATGCCCAACATTCATTAATCTGGTTCAGAATGTTACATATGCTTTTCATGTAAGATTCCATTACTTAATGTAGTCCTTCAAAAAAACAACTAACTAGCCTCAGAAATGCTGTCTGTGTTGACCTCTCACCCCAAAGACCTGTCACAAGTGCCATGGCAGCTAGTATTGGGGTTAATGACAGGTGAGACGGGTGAGTAAAGAAATCAACGCAGAGCAAGGTGAAGTGGAAGCAGGGCTAGTGGCTCTGTGACTATGGTGAGGTCCACATCGACGCCATACCACTGTGACTTATAGCCAGAGGGTGTCAATGTGGTGAAAGGAGTGTAGTTTAAGCACTGGTTGTCAGGATTGGCTGTGAGAGAGTAAAGGGCGGGGCACCAGGCGGAGGACATGATTTGGGAACGGGAAACGGAATCCGATGATAGACAAAATGGGACAGCGTGGGAGTGAGTTTAAAGCAATGATGGAAATGGGTGGTAAATTCAAAGGCACTTAAAGAAAACCCAAGACATTCTGAAAGAAGTGCTACATCACCTCTCATGATCACCACTCATACATAATGCCCCTGTACAGTATCTTCGTCTACCTCTCATGATACCGCTCATACATAATGCCCCTGTACAGTATCTTCGTCTACCTCTCATGATCACCGCTCATACATAATGCCCCTGTACAGTATCTTCGTCTACCTCTCATGATCACTGTCAAGAGAACCTGGTGTCATTCTGCTCACCGATGGCAGCCTTCACATCCACCTTCTCCGACTCAGGCGAGTGACAACTGTACCCGGCGGCATTGACGGCTTTCACCCGGAATACGCACTGGTCCCCTGTGTTGAGGCCGTGACACACGAACCTGGACAGAAAAAGGCAGGAGATACAAGTGGTCAGAATTCTGGGAAGGAGACAGAGTACTAGACACTGCACCTATTGTGAATTCTATCGTAGGTCCTTAGCTACCTGCCAGATGATAATATCCACCCCAAAAATGCCAAACCCAGATACCTGCCCCCATGGACTCCCCATAACATCCAAACCCAAAGTTCCAGTCCTAGATACTTGCCCCATGGTCTCCCATAACAGCTTGTGGGAGTTTACAAAAATGTTCTGAGGGAAATGCCAGTCCCCGGTACCTGGTGCACTTCACCGGCTTGTTATTGCAGGGAGTCCACACGCCACTACCCACGACGCTGACCTCGATGTAGTAGCCCACCAGCTGCATGGCATTCTGGGACGGCTCCCAGGACACCACCACAGAGGTATCGGTGTTCCTGCTGGCCACCACACGGCCTGGAGCAGGAGGGAGATCTGCAGGGCATATAAGATACGGCTAACATCTCTCATACAGCTGGTACAGTCATGGCCCAAATGGTGCAGCGGGTACGTGAACCCTCACCCAGCTTGTCCCCGACAGCGGTGGGTTCGGTGGCTTCCGAAGACTCCCCCACCCCAGCCGAGTTGCAGCACCGCACCCTGAAGCTGTAAGTCTTGCCCTCAGCCAGATCAAACAGGGCGAAGCGTGGAGACTTCACAGGCATGCCAGCGTTGACCCTCTGCCAAGTGTCTGTGCCCACCACGCACTGCAGTGAGAGTGGCCACTCACACTGTAGCTCACAATACAGACACACACTGCAACCCAACACTGCAGTGTAAGGCTGGCTTCTCATAGAAGCTAGTCATGGCTGACATATGTTCCCTGTATGTATGAGCCCCATCCTACTCACCTTCTCCACATAGTACATGACCCCCTCATGACCCCTCTGGAACGGGGGTTTCCAGGCCAGCACCACATAGCTCTTGGTCGCCTCGATGACTGCCAGGTCACTCGGTTGGCCTGGAACCTCTCCCACTGTAAGAATAACGTGTTTATCTCCATGGCAACCTCCGATGATACCCCCCCACCGCCACTCAAGCTGGCTTTGCCCTGGAGTTTCATCATTCATTCAATGAACCTGGGTGAACTTAGTTCAATGCAACACAATGCCTTGTCTGCATACCTAGTTCTGCATTTACCTAGTTGGTACTAGTATTTGACTCAGTTAAGTATTGTTTATATTTGATACATATACTGTGCTTATGCAACATTTATTATTTCTAAGTCTCCATTTTTGCATCTATATATGTGTTCATCTGCTTTTATACCCTACCCGTTGGCTCCTCCTCTGTGACGATGATGTGCGCCGTCCATGGGGCAGATGGGTGACCTGAGGGATGGTAACACAAAACCAGAAAGTGTTTTAGTCCCCTATGGCCAGAGATTGATGTGGCTGCAGGTGATATACTGAGTAAAGAACTCAACTTATGGCTAAATGGTTGTGAGTTTAAGTCCCAGACAGGGTCTGGCTGTTGTCCCTTCCAGTAGGACACTATATCTGAATTGCTCTCTTTGTCTTCCTGGCATATTTTCTACAGTGGAAAATCAACAAAGCCAGGTGGACTAGGTGGCGATGCTCACTGCGTAGGTAGGCGCGGTCGGCGGGTGCCATGGCGACCACCGGATCGGAGATGCGGGACGGATGGCTGACCCCGGCGTAGTTGATGGCCCGGACACGGAACACGTAGGAGCGCCCCTCCACCAGACCCGTGACCGGGAAGCGGGCAAATTTCACTGGCGTGTCATTGCATTGGACCCAACGGTCAGTTCCCACCTCACACCTGCCAATAAAACACCTCTATCAATATGACATGGTCTTCAAACTTCATCGGAATCAGAAAACCCACATCACTGTATGAACGTAGAGATACTGATGGAAATACCTTGACCACCTTTCAAACAACTCTAATATGGACACCAAAAATGGATACCAAAGAACTTGACCATCCCCACAGTATGCCAAGTGGACCACAGAGAGCTCACCTGTCCACATAGTATTCCAAAAGGATGACATATCTCACCTGTCCACCTACTAACCCAAAAAGAGGTCAGAGACCTTACCTGTCAACATAGTATCCCAGGATGGAGCTGCTTCCTTCCACTGCAGGCTGCTTCCAGGTGACCACCACATAGTCTTTGTTGGCATCCTGACAGCGCACGTCCAGAGGAGCCACAGGGGCTCCTTCCACTTCCACATCGGCGTCTGGTTACACACACGGCAAGGAACATACCTAACTTATGTGCTAACTTCACAATAACTTAAACTTCAGTGCAGCTAATTTTTCCTACCCCAACTCAACAATAAGAAATCAATAATTATGGCACTTCATGTTCCTCTGAACAACTAAGCTTTTTTGGGAACTTACAGAAATATTTTTTAATGATTGACACGCACGCACACACACACACACAGGTTTGTAATTATATCTTTGTGGGAACTCTACATTCATTTCTATAGGAAAAACTCTAATCCCAACATGATGACCTTAACCCCTACCCAGCCCTGACCTTAACCATAAGTAAACAAACAAAATAGGAGACTTTCGCCATTTTTAGTTTAGTTGATTGCATTCACAGATCTTTGTGGGGACCTGAAAAATGGTCTCCGCAATGTTAAAATAACAGGTTTTTCTTATATTGTAGGGAACATTCGATCCCCACAATGTAATATAAACATAATCTACACAAAAATACACCAGTTCTAATTCTCGCCCAGTCTGTTACAGTACACAGCCTCTGATACCCTGCCCACCTATAACCAGAACTACAAATTCTAGGGTCCTTTTCAAACAGGAAACCAGACAGGTGTGAATGTTCGTATTCCAGCCTGTGACTTTAGCCATGCCTCCTACCATAGATACCGCTGTATTTCTACACTGCCTGTCTCCATGACAATAATGCCTCTTTACCATGACTCAAAAGGCTACAGCTGCCTGTGGATGTCTGGCAATGGGCCATGGACATTGAAAAAAAATTTTTTTTTAAATTAAAAAAAAATATATATATATATATATATATATATAGAGAGAGAGAGAGAGAGAGAGAGAGAGAGAGTAGTGTAGTGGGAAACTTAATAAGAGACATGTTAGAGGCACACCCCCCCACACACACAAAGTCCCAAAAGTTCCTCCTTTTTCCACATCTCCACAAGCCACTGGCTGACCTACCATCCCCTCCATCCACCCTGGGTGGGGCTGGGGCGGGTGTGGCTCTCACCTCTTACGAACACGTAGGCAGAGTAGGAGTCAAAGCCGGACTTTGTGTTGATGCGCAGTGTATAGAGGCCCTCGTCCTCCTTGTTGAGGTGTTTGAAAGTCAGCATGGCACGATCTCCACTCCAGTGCATCTGCACCCAACGCGAGGGCTGCAGTAGTGTGGCTGCAACACAGGGGTCAAATGGAGGTCATGAGGGACTGTCAAACAGGCCTACTGGCAACACAGGGGTCAAATGGAGGTCACGAGGGACTGTCAAACAGGACTACTGGCAACACAGGGGTCAAATGGAGGTCACGAGGGACTGTCAAACAGGCCTACTGGCAACACAGGGGTCAAATGGAGGTCATGAGGGACTGTCAAACAGGCCTACTGGCAACACAGGGGTCAAATGAAGGTCATGAGGGACTGTCAAACAGGCCTAATGGCATTACAGGGGTCAAATGGAGGTCAAGAGAGACTGTCAAGACCGCCTACTGGCAAAACAAAGGTCAAATGGAGGTCAAGAGGGACTGTCAAGACAGCCTACTGGCAAAACAGGGGTCAAATGGAGGTCAAGAGGGACTGTCAAGACAGCCTACTGGTGAAACAGGGGTCAAATGGAGGTCAAGAGGGACTGTCAAGACAGCCTACTGGTGAAACAGGGTCAAATGGAGGTCAAGAGGGACTGTCAAGACCACCTACTGGTAAAACAGGGTCAAATGGAGGTCAAGAGGGACTGTCAAGCAGACCTACTGTGCAAATAGAACAAAAGCAGTGACACAGAAACAGAGATCTATACGCATACACCTATTCAGGCAGACAATATGAAATGCACACACAAAAATACATGCATACAGTCTTACATTAACACTTGTGCACAGTATGTAGATCCTCACAGAAAAACACACAGACAACTGGCTACTCACCATTGCGGTACCAAAGGATGTCAGGCTGGTACCGCTTCACCTGTGGGAAGATGATCACTGTACAGCCGACACTGAGGGTCTCTCCCTCACGGCCGAAAGATACGGAGAACTTGTCTGTGATGTGAGTGCGGAAGGTCACTCCATATTCAGGACAGAAACCATCTGAAGAGCAATAACAGAATTTAAGCCATGAAGACGTGCTGATCTTTACCTCAATAATTCACTGATGTGATGGTGCTGGACTGTATCTTTTGACGTAAAGAGTTTTTAGATGTGCAATGCATTCTGGGATACATGAGCTTAGCCCTTAAGTAACGTGGACTGAAGTGCAGCACACGTGTGCTTGTTAGAAAGTTTTTGTCTTTATCTTAAACTTTTCCAGCAAAGCATTGGACCCAACGGTCAGTTCCCACCTCACACCTGCAATGGCTTTTTACTGTACTGTTCTCTCTACGTTAATATACTAGTAGTATAAAACATGTAGCGAGAACAGTACAGTGATTAATGGTACAGGTCTGTATCTCCATCATTCATTGATGTGATTGATGCTGCATGACTGTATCTCCATCATTCATTGATGTGATTGATGGTGCATGACTGTATCTCCATCATTCATTGATGTGATTGATGGTGCATGACTGTATCTCCATCATTCATTGATGTGATTGATAGTGCTAGTCTGCATCTACAGCATTCACTGATGTGACAAATCTATACCTCCCCCTATATGCATAAATATTATGTATGTATTTATTCTACTCTCCCCCCCAGAGAGACTTTTCAAATCATTAGAGCACAGACACATGCAAATAAACTAACAAACTACTGTCAGTAGAGCATATGGGAAATCACACTCATTCTCATGCCAATTCTGATGATGTGTACAAAGAAAAACGTGATTCTGTAACTCACGAGGCTTTCGAGCAAGGTCCTCGCCCTCTTGGAATCCTGTATGTAAAAAATAAAGGAGATATGCACAAATAAAACAAATAAAACAGATGATCTAAAGTTAAAACAGACACATGTGCGATCACATAGTTTCTTTAGCTATACCTTAAATGCACTAATTCTATTACCAGTATAAATAATCCTATTGTCATTTGAGTTTAGCTGGAGTTTTGCCTATAGCCTTTTTAATAAGTCATTGACAAACATGAAAATACTAAATATTGAAGCTCATCCTAAAAGATTCCATAGAGAAATAGAATCTCAAAAGGTAAAAATATGAGAAATACATGCATATATATCAAGATAAATATGAAGCACGAACCAGCGCTTGGTTCATGGTGCCCAGGCATGAATAGCTTTGAAACAAAAGTAACAGCTTGGTTTTAAATAACCATGGAGGTTAGAGGCCTAGACTCCCGTTCTTAGCCAGGAATGTGCAGCATATCTTAGTCATGTTCCACCCAGACCAAGGGGATCAATAACACTGCAAGCAAGAGAGATTTTGGGAAGGCAATACCCTACTTTTCACCACCACGGTGGAGATGGCGGAGCTCTCTCCTTTCACGTTCATCGCTGAGATGCGGTACTGAGCTGTGTCCTCAAAGGTGCAGCTGGAACAGGAAGGAGGCACACGCTTCCTGTCAGCTCCATATTCAATTTCCTGTCAGTGTTACTTCTCCTAACAGTTTCTTCTTTATTATTGCATTATCCATCAAGGTCAGGTAAGTCCTTGTTTTGGTTTTGCGATGACCTACATACCTTTTGATCTCCAGTGAGTGCATGTTGTAGTTGCTCTCAACTGTATACTTGTCAGGATATGCCTTGGCATCGATCCATACGTTGTTCTTGTACCTGAAGGGGAACAGGAAATGTTACCCATGGCAACAGGAAGAGGAGGAACCTGGACAAGGTGAACATATAAGCAGCATCGTACCTCATACCACGTTGAAACTTGTATGATATGACCAGACACCACCAATCAGACCATGACCGCCCCTCCACACACATACAGACCAGCTCGCACCGGCATGACAACCCACACAGACCTACCAGGCAACCAGTGGCTTTGGCCAGCCAGTGACGGTGCAGTGCAGAGTGACTATCTGCTTCTCCCAGACTCCATCAATCAGACCATGACTGCCCCTCCACACACATACAGACCACACTGCACCGGTATGATGGACCACGCAGACCTACCAGGCAATCCATGGCTTTCGCCAGCCAGTGACGGTGCAATGCAGAGTGACTGTCTGCTTCTCCCAGACCCCATCAATCAGACCATGACCGCCCCTCCACACACCTACAGACCAGCCCGCACCGGCATGACGACCCACGCAGACCTACCAGGCAACCCGTGACTTTGGCCAGCCAGCGACGGTGCAGTGCAGAGTGACTGTCTGCTTCTCCCAGACCCCATCAATCAGACCATGACCGCCCCTCCACACACATACAGACCACACTGCAACGGTATGATGGACTACGCAGACCTACCAGGCAACCCGTGGCTTTGGCCAGCCAGCAACAGTGCAGTGCAGAGTGACTGTCTGCTTCTCCCAGACCGTGTGGGAACGTGGCTTCACTATAAACTCTGGGGGGTGTGTCAGGCTGTCTGCATTCATCTTCCTCTGGAACTCCTCCCTCTCATGCATCTGAGGAGAAAAAACTTGCTTGTCAATAGAGACAAAAGGGGGAACCATATCTTTTGCCATTCAGTACTGAAAACCTGAACTAAGAGAATTTCATACACAGGCAGCTTTGATTCTCACTGATGAATAATATGGATCCTGACAGTAAAGGGACATCAAAATTCGAACTGTTCCAGCTCACCATTGACACATTGATAAACAAAATGCTGTAGGTTGATATTCCAAAGGTAGATGTACTTACTACCAGTTCCAGTAAATGGTAGAAACTGATAACGATACAAAACTGTCTGTCCAGCAAATAGTTTTGGCCAAACAAGTTAAGCTACATGGTCAACTGATGCTTTCATCCCAAGAGCTGACAGTGGAGAGGAGGGTTATAATTACTGATATACGCAGGATTTGAACCCATGACCTTTATATGTTAGTAGTCAAATGCACTACTCATTGACCTACAAACACAGCATTTGGGCATCTGGAGCGTTTACCTTTCTCACTAGATGAATACGGTCAGCAGATTCCCTCAACGTCGTCTCCCTGGTTTTCTTTTCCACACGTTGCATTTCTGTGGTCTCCCGAGTAAAAAGGTTCCTTAGGGCCACATAGCCAATGCTTTCCTCCTTCCTCTCCTCCTCCTGGGACTCCAGAAGCTCTCTGGCGAACCCTTGGCTGTAGACAAGACTAGGTTCCTTACTACCATTCATTATCAAAATTCTTCTTCTAGAAAGGTAGAAATGACTACACATACAATCCTATTACCACAAACGCTCCTCATAAACATTACCATCATAATTCTCATTATGCCTGGCAAACCCTACATTAGGTTTAGATCCACTATTATCAGTGGAAACGCTTCCATACATAAGCATCAACAATCATCATGGATTCCTACACAGTTTACAAGCGAAACATATTCCCAGAGCATAGGAGGGTCCAGATATTTTATTACATACCTGCTTCTGAAGATCGGTACAACATAGCCGATGATTTCATTCTCTTTGTCCATTGCCAGGTAGGTTTTCTTTGACTTGGAGAGTAAGCTTAGGTCGGCCTCGTCAAGTTCCTTGACTGACTGTACAGTTGTCTTAATGCTGTAGCATTAAGACAGAGACAAATCATTAACCTACAGCTTGGTACCTGATTTTTCAAATGTAGGAGCTACATTTGAGTTGAAGACCTTTAAAAACTATATGGAATCAACCTAGCTTGGTTTTCAGACAGACTTACCTGATCTTGGACAGAAACCAACAGAATCTATCATTCACACAGCATCGATCATATACAGACTGTCCCCAAGTAAAGAACATCCGACTTATTAAAAACTTGTACTTGCGGATGGACCACCATAAAGCCTATTGTATTAAAAATCAGGTTAAATACAATGGCGCGTAATAACAATCATATGCAATACTTTGTGTCGCTTGTGAAAGCATTGCATGGCTTTACCGGTTTATCGACTCGAGGTACAATACAGTACCATATATAGTTACTTTTATTATTACTTTATAATTATCATTATTATTATGTAATATGTTATTTTCCAGACTTACCTACAAATTTGACTCAAAGACAGACTTGAACAGATCTTGTTCATATGAATTTGAAGAAGCACTTCTTTACACAGCGTGTAGTTAGAGTATGGAATAGTCTTCCTGCTAGTGTAGCGCAAGCTAAAACCTTGGGTTCCTTTAAATCAGAGCTAGATAAGATTCTAACAACTCTAAGCTATTAGTTGAGTTCTCCCCTTGATGGGCCGAATGGCCTCCTCTCGTTTGTAAATTTCTTATGTTCTTATGTAACCTGGGCACTGCCTATGCTAATCTCTCATTAACATAAAGGCACACATGTACCAGCTGGTAAGTTAACAGCCCAAGTAACATCCAATAATAAAACAAGTAGCTATGTGACAGAACACAATATAGTCAATTTCATTCAAGAAGTTCACTGATAAACTGGGTATCTAATCAGAAACATTCATTCTCTGTAACTGCTTGTGTTTTTCAGGGTCGCGGCGTCCCAATCTGTCTCTGTCGGCCCTGGTCTGTTCCAGTTCGGCCAGCAGACGTCGCTGCTAACCATTCTGTGCCCTCTCATTTGCATTTACCCCAGCTGTTTCTCACCCCTTGAGATTAGTCGATTATTATGGTCCACACCTGCTCCTCATGTACTACCTGTTATCTGTCTATATATGTGTCTGCTCTTGCCAGCTTCCCTAAATCAGTCACTGTTGCTTGTCACAGTGTTAGTGTCTGTTCACATGTTTTGTTCTCTCAAATACAACCTCCTTTTGTGAAAACCCAAGTCAACTACTTCCTGGTTTCCAAAGTGACACACAGGCTAATCAGAAACATATTTTTCATTTCTTTGTTAAATGCAACCAATCAGGACTACATCTGTCACAATAACATTTATGAAATGTAATGAATCCTCCATCCATTTTTCCATAACAATGTAAGGTCTGCTGAAATCTATCCCAGAAAGCATAGAGCCCATAGCTAGGTACACCCTGAACGAGATACCTATTCATGACAAGGGACACATGCACACAAACATATGCACTGTAAGGTCATCAATAAGAGTTTGCATAAACAACATGTGAAAGAAAACCAGATGTTCCAGAAGTGAAGCAGGTGAATGTTAGAAGAATATGCAATCCCCCCACACACAGAAGACTTTTTTTACATCCTCAAATTTCAGAGACATTTAAGGATGAGACCTTCTGCTACTTAGTTAAGGGGCTACTTGTACAACTCAGCAAATAGGAAGTCAGCAAGATGGATAAATGCCTTTTTACATTAACAGTTAATCACTAAAATGTTTAATTGTAAAGTTTTTTACTAAGCTTTCACTTTTGTAAATCACAAAGAATAATGCTACTTTGAGGGTGTTAATATCAACAGAGTAGAAAATGTTAACTTTTGCAATGCTAAGATAATGGGGCTGAAAGCTGGTCAGCTGGTTAACTGACCTCCAACATCAAAGTTACTGCAAAATACTACACAATGTCATGACTTGCAAAGAACTCAAAGCCAGGTGTTTTGGCGAAACAAAAGGTATTTTAATTAATCTTAACTAAACAAGGACTGGAAAGCAAACAAAGGGAGGGATCAAAAAGGGTTAGACTGGTACAGGGAAGGACACAGGGAACAGGAGGCGCGACATCAGTGACCAGACTGGGGATGACAAGACAAACAGGTACTTAAATACAAAGACTAATGAGGGGCAACAAGCAACAGGCGCGGCTCATGAGGGCCACATCAGGGAGGAGACAGGAGGGTCAGGCGTGGCTCATGAGGGCCACGTCAGGGAGGAGATAGGAGGGTCAGGCGTGGCTCATGAGGGCCACGTCAGGGAGGACACAGGAGGGTCAGGCGTGGCTCATGAGGGCCACGTCAGGGAGGACACAGGAGGGTCAGGCGTGGCTCATGAGGGCCACGTCAGGGAGGAGACAGGAGAATCAGGCGGACATGACGGACAGGACGTAACACACAAAACTTGCCGCACTGAAATGACGGAGTCCTCACATCCAGCACACATCCATGCCAAATCATTCTCTAGTGGTTATTTTTTTAATCACTAATAGAAGTATCTTTGCTAACTGGTCTACAGAACAAAATCACAAAGAAAAAGTAAAAGCTCTAATGCAATCCCAGTTCACTACAGCATTATCCTGTTGCTGAGGTTTACTTATCGATTGATCATCACAATTTCACAATTTTTGCATGCGCCTATTCACAAAAATGTCACAATGCTGAACTTAACATTTTGACCAGCTGAACTTGGCCTCCCATTTTCCCCATCATTTGCAAAATCCCTTCCCCCATGTGTACAGCTTCTTGTTTCTGTTGAGCCATTTGTATTATAGACTTGTAATGTACACAACAGCTGTCCATAAATACACTGCTTAACTACCCGAAGGTATTTCGAACAGTAACAAAATGTTTGAAGCTGTTTTGAAGGAGTATGTCTTTTCTCCAAACTGCTTTATGCTGCTCTGAGATATTTCCATCATCCAGCAAAGCATTGGGAGAGGTCCGGCCAAGCTCAAGTTACCGCCTAAGTGCACCATGGTTCCATCCTCGGACTACTATCATTTCATTTCTTACCCTTTGTGGCTGCGCCTACTGGTGCGGACACTAGTAGAACGTGTGCTGGTTTTCTGGACCTTGCTAACGGCCGACACCGAGGTGGTGCTGCGCTCATGGCGCTTCCGAACATCCTGGTGGGATGACATGGATTCTGACATCCTGTATGGCTCCAAGTGAGATCCGAACTCCACGTTTCAGTCCTTAGCCATGGTTCAAAATAATGACAGCATTTATTAACGAAGTCACTTTATTTCAGCTGTTAGTTAAATAATAACGTATTAATTATAAATTATTTAATAGCTATTACAATTCTTTCAGTAGCAGGGTTTACAGTAACTGATTATTTTAAAAATGTATTTTAGCGTTAGTTCCAGCTATTAGTGATTCATTAAGAGGTTTAGTAAAAGTAGAAAATGTCATAAGCTACAATGACCATGGAAGTATATTATTTGTATACATTTGACTTTGGTTTTCAATGCTACTGATAAAACTGTAGGTCTGCTTAATAGTTTGACGTGTGTCGCAGCCGAATTCCAATCAAGAAAAAAAATCTTTCACCACAGTGAACTTTTTTATTGGCCACAGTTTTGTATTATCTCTTGAGTGAAAAAAACATTTTGAAATATATATAGCTTGACCTTTGGGAACCATTCATAATAATCGGACTTGATGATATTAGACAAATATTTCTCCATCCAAAGCAGCACTGAATATCTGTCATTTTGAATTGTTCCAAATATTGTTATTCTTAATGCCATTTTATGTGATTCCTTCAAAATCATGTGAAGCCCATGCTTTTAGACACCTGAGGCATATGCAAAATCAACTGTACAATGACCACTGTACAGAATGATTTACCAACATGGCTGCCCTAGTGTACGGAGGAATGGCCGGCTGGCTGATTCACGGTCATGCTTTATGTAGATTTTCTCAGAGGACACCTTTGCTATCCTAATAATCCCATCATTGATCATTGTGTGAGGGAAAAAAATGCAATTTTCAATTGATTTCAATGACCTACAAATTTGTGCATGGAGATTTGAAAACTCGGGGAATTTGGAGATTCCTCTCAAGCTCTAACAGAATCCAAAATTAACTGCAGATATTGGTTAAGCTAATTTATCAAAAGCATGAACCTGAATTCGGTCAGTTCCTATATCAGACAAATGTTCTGCTGATGTATCACTGATTATTGTGTCACAAAAGAACTCTAAAAATCTTAACTGAATATGGACAAATAAAACAAGCAAACCACAACTCATCAAAAATCGACAACTTTGTGCGGGAAATATTTAAAAAGATTTTTTTTCTGAGTTTAAAAGATTAATGTCAAGTAAGCTACGCTTGCATTTCAAGTCGCAGTTACACGATTAAAATTAGTAGAAATATGTTTGCTGTCACTCAATAATATATGATGATGAAGCCCTGTTATTAGTGTAACAGCGAAGTGTCTTCGTCACCTATTTGTGTCTTTACAAAACCAAATGCACAGGTTAATTAACTGTCTCGCTGTACAATTTTCATAACCTAATATGTGGGAAAATTCGGTTCAGGAAGAGAAATGAAAACGCATATAATTAACAAAGTTTTATATGGCTCATGTATTGAGGCTTCCATGCCATATCCAGTTAAAGATTATACTGCACAAGTTTAAGCGTTATATATGCAGCCTAATCGCTCCAATGTACATGCAATTAATGAAAGTATTAATTCATTAATTAACATATCGTCTAATTTCAATACAGTTACAACGGGAAAATAACCAAGTGTAATTTCTAATTGAGTAAGTGCGCTTAAGCGGGAGCCTTTTACTTACCAAAGCACGCTACCGATTAGTAAAAATAAGCCAATTTAAAACCCAAAAAAAGAAATAGTGAAGCGAACTAAAATCCAGGCAAAGCGGTGGATCGGGGTGCGGAGCGGCGGCCGGGGGCTGCGCTCTGCCAGGCGAAAATAATACGGCCAGTCGGCAGAATGCGGGAGGCACAGTCGCGACCTTGTATGGCCAGGGAGGCGTTAAATATAGCCGCGGGGGGACTGACCCTTCATTTCACGTTTACAGTGGGGAATCTGGGTTACAGTCCGGACACAGGTGTTTCAAAGTAAAGTATTTTACTTTGCGGCATGAGAGATGTTATTGTTTCTTTGTCACAAATCTATTATAGCATAATATTCACCCTACCATCGAAACCCATGACAAATACCTTTATAAAAATAACAACACAAAAACCTTCTAAGTTCGTGTTTACATATCCATTTTCGCACATAGCTTACCGCCCGTAAAGACAATTTCATGATAATACAAATAACGTGTACTGGAGTTTGGTAAATGGGTGGATAGTCAGAAAACTAATTTCAATGTGTAGAAGTCCCTACTTTTTTTATATGTTTGTGTGATGGTATATGGTCCACGTGTAATTTCTGTCGTGGTTCAATGGAGATGCCAGCGACCTCATTTCAGAGATATTTAGCTTCTGATAACGAGGAATCCTTCAAGGTGACGGCTCCCTGCTCTTTCGCACCCTTCTTGTATTTGAAGGCGTCGGGTTTCAGTGACGCCAGTCGCTAAGTTTAGCGATATCAACGATAATGCGGCTTGTCATTCATTTAATTTGCCGAGGTGGCGCGCGTTTTGACATTTAAATGTTCTATGTGTTTACATTAAGGTAACTATAGCAACCGTGCAAAAGTGAACATGCATGGGTATAGCCACGCTGTATGCCGATAGTTTAATATCTGCTTTCTGCTGCGCTAACTTGGGACCGGCAGCGCTGTTGTGACACCGCTGCAGGTCCGGGGGATTGGAATATGTGGATGAGCTGACATCCCATAAGGGTCGCCAACTTTGAACAGCTGGCTGGCGCGAGATTTTCAATTCAAGCAAGTCTGCACACGCATTTATATGTATGTAACAGTTTTATTACCTTGTAAATAGTCTGTAGGATTTGCAAACTTCACCACCGCTTCTGATATAGCTAACATTAAGTTTATAATGGAATATTATAGATTTGCTGTAAGATTTCTTGTGTGAGCATGACCCCAAAAGTCAATGTTAGTTTCTAGTGGTGAAAAAGAGCATTACACTTTGGTGATTGAATTTGGTGATGGTACATTTATGGTCTAGCTGCTGGATTTGTAACCAAGCAGACCTAGGATGCCCTTGTAACATAATGCCAACAGCCTACGTGTTACTAAACTGGTTCAACACACCATTATGTATGCCACCGCTAAAAACTTTGATAACTATCTAAATGACTCCGTATATTTGTGCAGTGGTAAGATTGCGGATTTTAGTCCTTAGGGGCTGGCATCACTATATCCATAGACACCACAGCAGCACCATTCGAAAACCAAGCACTACTACGCACAATCAACCAACTAAATCCAATGCTCTTCAATACACATACGTCGGGCTTGTTGGCACCCCCATATTGGTCGCGATGGTGCATCCCAGCCCCTCCGGCGAACCGCCGTACGGTTATTAGGAAGTCGTAGCGTAGGGGTGGAGTCTCCGCAGCCTCTTTTTTGGGTTTGGATTTACGGTGGGCTCAAGGTACGTTTTGCTTTCGTTTTTACTCTCCTGTTATTAATAACAGTAGCGAACTCCGAAGACGTGGCGTTGGGGAAGCGCGGTGCTGTCTTGGACGTATCTGCTAATTGCTCCTTTCATTGTAGCTGTTAGCTAATTTTTAAAGCCAGAATAGAGCGATGCATAGGCCCAGCAGAAACAAGCCAAAATATCACATTAAAACAGCCGTCTGTTGTTTGGGGGTTTGTTTGTAGTTGGCAAGTGATGGGCGCTTGGTAAATGGGTACTCTGCAGTTTGATAAAATGTGCACGTATTTATCCGTGTCGCAGGTTTCCAACGCTACTATTTTTAAACATTGATCACTGGGGGCCGAAGCCCCGTGTGTCCTGCACTGAAGGTACTCTAGTAAATATGTAGTTTGCAGGATCCAGAAGCGATTGCACTCGTTTTGCAAGATAAAATGGAAAGAAATACCTCACAGTGTTGCATAGAGGGTATCGATTTATAACCCTGACTAAATGTCCATGCAAGAAACTACAGACCTCATATTATATGAATTTGTATCTAGCATTGTTTCTACGGACTGATGTAATCGTAGTTATCTCCCAGCCTTATTCAAATCGAATAGATTTGTTTATATTTTTGTTTGTCTAAGTAATCGGTTAGTTGACTGTAACTTCATATTGCTTTATTGATTTGTCCCTAAATATTCATTAAATGCAACTGCAACTTCTCAGTTCCTAAAGGGGGTGAGACGGTAACTCTTGGCACAACGCCTCAGTTTTCTCCAGACTCGAGTTCGAAGACCAGTGGGCAACATGTCGAGCAAACGGGCCAAGGGAAAGACCACCAAGAAGCGCCCGCAGCGCGCGACCTCCAATGTCTTTGCCATGTTCGACCAGTCACAGATCCAGGAGTTCAAAGAGGCCTTTAACATGATCGACCAGAACAGGGACGGTTTCATCGACAAGGAGGACCTGCATGATATGTTGGCCTCACTGGGTAAGTCGGGGCAGCTTTATGTCATTGTTATTTATTTGGCCAGTAGGGGCAGGATAGTTCAGTCACTTGCAGCTGTATTTCAGCGTTTCTGAGTGAGGCAGTGTCAGTCTAATTTGCTAAGGCAGGCTGAAATACTGCAGATCCAGCCACCTATGTACCGTAGGCTTGATCCCAGATAAAATCCAGACTGCTCTTCATTGGAGCTTGTACAAGAGTTTGAGTCCCCCACTTTAGGTAATCTAATCTTTTCTTCTGGTCAACGTTGTAAATATCAAAGCTCAGTCTCTTTTCAAGGGGTACAGACTTTACTCTGGATCGGAAGATGTTTTCATGTGTGTTTTACTCCCAATGTGTGATCTAGGGAAGAACCCGACTGACGAGTATCTGGAGGCCATGATGAACGAGGCCCCTGGACCCATCAACTTTACCATGTTCCTTACCATGTTCGGCGAGAAGCTCAACGGCACAGACCCTGAGGACGTCATTAGGAATGCATTCGCCTGCTTTGACGAAGAGGGCACAGGTGACAGATCCGTGGTCTTCTAATTAGTTTTTGATCGGTGCCCCGATGAACAGATGACCAAACATCAGCCTGTAGCAACTTTTCTTTACTTTACACTGGTGGCCAAAATTATGGAAACGCTTCCAGGTTTTAAAGATTGCAGAATTGTTGCTGTTGCAACAGTTGCTCCAGTTACTTATTTAGTTGTCCAATGTATGGTATTTGTATCATTCTTTGTTTATAAACATTACCACCAGTATTTGCGTTGTCATTTTTAAAGCGTAATGCCAAAAATTCTTGGCATTTCCACAATTTTGGCCACGTTTTATATTCTATTACAATAGGCTTATACAAGACAATACAATATATAATTATACATTGCACTTGTACAATAGACAGTAGACAGAAATTCTTGTTATGCCCAAAGGAGTCACTGGATTTTGTAAATAGTTCAACACTCTCCAATTGCATCGTATGCAATTACTTGTTCTACTGTTTTGTGCAAAATCAAGCACTGAAATTTCTGATGATGGCATGTTTTACTTGCCTTGGTGCCCCAGATAAGTAAAATTATATAAAGTGTCATGTAACGTGGTCTAAAGCAGGACTGGCCAATCTTATCTGCAAAGGGCCGGTGTGTATGCAGGTTTTTGGGATAACCTTTAGGTCAGCTGTTCAAACCCAGGAGTAAGGACTCTGCATCCAATCAGTCCTCTAATTAGTAATCTAATTGGGGAGTTGTGGCGAAAACCCGCATACACCGCGGCCCTTTCTGGATAAGATTGGCCAACCCTGGTCTAAAGTATCTAAAGAACTTGTCAGAACTCATCATACAGGTGCTTGCCTCTTCCCAGGTTTCATCCAGGAGGACTATCTAAGAGAGCTTCTGACGACCATGGGTGACCGGTTCACGGATGAGGAGGTGGATGAGCTCTTCCGCGAAGCACCCATTGACAAGAAGGGGAACTTCAACTACATGGAGTTCACACGCATCCTGAAGCACGGAGCCAAGGACAAGGACGACTAGGCCGGGATGCTGCAGCAAGCAACATGCAAACATCTCCACATCTCACGCGTACCTGGGTAGAACATCTCCATTTCTTAGCTTTGAAAGACCGTTCAACAGAACAACATAAGAGAACCACTCGACGGCGTTTACCGTATTCCTGAACACCCGTTAGTTCTGTTTCTGACGACGCGCACACGTATAACATTCATGGCTGGCCGCCATCCACAGCGTCAGAATGGTGTGTATTATTGTGTAAAATAACAGACTGTAAGAAGTAACCTGTTTGAATTTTGTCAATCACATGGCCTGGGCTAGCTGGACTTCAACGTTTTTTTAATTAAACATTTTGAAAATAAAGGTCTGGCAGCAAATGTGATTTGTTCCCCACCACCCAGGTGGTTTGTAAAGTACTTACCACGGTGTCCACACAACCCATGGCTATGGCTGTATGAGCGCCACCCTGTGTTTGTAGGGGAAGGTACTGATTTACCTAGATGTCTTCACAGAATGCTGAACCCTGTCAAAAGAAGCTTTCATTTGGGATTCTGAAACGCCCCAGGTCTTGATTAGAAAGCAGGATTTCTTGCTTAGCCAAGTAGCTTGTCGGATGTAAGGTACCCAAGCTTAAGTGGACTTCCTGCACTTACCTTCAGCCCAGACCACCTCCAATCCTAAGCAAGCTAAGACAGACATCCTGCTCCAGAAGACCCTCATGAGGGAAGCTTCAGATCACCATTTAAATAATGTTTTTTCTTCTTGGAGCATTTAAAAGTAAATCCTGAAATTTGAGGTTAAATTGCAGGATTCTGGTCTCATCTTGGCTGTAGCAATCTTGCTATTTCACTGGGTTTTATTCACATGATAATTTTGGGCTTGTATGTGTTAAGGTTCTGCTTTCATCCCTAGTTAATTTAAGGTGTTAATTGCTGGCTTTTTCGGTACTCGTGCAACATCACACCTTCATATCACAGCACGTACTTCAGTCATATAAATCTGTCATTTGATTACAAAGCTTACGATCTTAGATATGAAGGACAAAAACCTAGCCAAGCAATTTCCCCACCATAAGTCCGCTTCTAAATGATCAATGGGTTCTGGAATGCAAACGGTAAACATTTGATCACAAAATATTAGAAGCAACAAGAACTAACAGTGACGGATCAGCAGACCGTTTGCTCTTGTACATCTCGGGGCATAACTGCCCAGCCCTGGTTCATTGGGAGAGGAGGTTGGCTGAAATCACTCTTGTATCCCTGAACTTAGAACTGAATCTGAATCGCTTTAATTAAATTATGCAGCTGTGTAAGTGGGTGCACTCTGGTCTTCCAAGCCCCATGTGGCATGTGAATACAATCTCAACGTAGCACTGGGTGTAAATATATCAGCCTAAATCACAATTTAACACAAAGGCAGCATTTAAAATGTATAGTTTATTTTTTTTGCCGTAGCCCTTCTATTATACAGAATAAAAATGGCCAATTGCCAGACGTTTCAACATGTAGACAATGACAAAAGATTGCAATTCAGTATAGAACTGAAAAAAGCCCATGATCCATGTCCATTCAAGTGTTAGTATCCAGAAATGTAACAAAAGGCCAGAAATTACACCTCAAACCGGCATGGTGGTACAAAAAGATTTAAAAAAAAACCAACACAGAATCCAACAGGACAGTCAGCGCCTACTATGAGGTTGTGCTTATAGGTCACCCTGCTTCTATGGAGATATATAAAAGTTACTTTACATATAAAGCATTCTGAAGTCACCGTTTGGCTTCTATGTAGCAGGAATCTGAGGCAGGCCAAACTCATCCACGAGAACACCATCCTGTGACAGCAAAATAAATAACACGTCATAACCAGGCTCAAAAGCAACCACATACTCTCACAATCCCCATACTTATGTATTTAGCACATACACATTCACATCACATCCTTATAGAGTGAGTATTCAGCCACAGCCTTGTAAATATTTAAGTATCAGTGCTGTTATAAATTGATCAACAGCACCATCTACTGTTCATCCTTGGTCATGGCACCTATAGCCTGTAATTCTGGGCTCTCCAACTCCAGTACTGGGGAGCTACTATCCAGTAGGTTTTCTATTCTACATGGCTTCTGATGAGCCACACAGGATAGAAAATATCTTGGATAGTAGCTCTCCTGGAGACCACTGCTGTAGTGTCAACTGCTTCATCAACCAGCCGTAGTTGTACTCATGGCTTACAGATTAATGAGTTATAATTTGTATCATAACTGAGACTGACTACAACTGATCACCATACACCAATTCTCAGTGAAAATCGCAGGTAGGACAGGCAAGTAAAGGGCGTACCTTGTTGGTCTTCTCCTTGTTGGGCATTCCCTCGGGAATGTCAGGTGCAGACGAGGCTTCATCCAGGTATGAACTGTCTTCATCCATCAGCAGATCATCTCCCAGTGCATCCAGCTCTGGAGGGAGGGGGAACACAAACACATGAGACCCAGAAGCTGCAGACACAGACTGGCATCAATACCCAGCTTAATGCCACCCACCCAGAAACACTGACTGGCACAGAGGCCCCGCACCCGGGCGGCTGTCCCACTCACCGGCTGCCAGGTCGTCCTCGTCGAGCTCCGGCGTCCCGTAGCTGCGGCTCAGCGCCTCCTGCACCTCGTTGGCATCCTCCATCATGTCCTCCAGCTGGTCCTGCAGGTCCTGAAAGAGGAAGGCGAGGACGTCTAAGCAACCACTGTTGTCATGGCGATGGCCACACAAAACCATAAACCAGTCTCTCCCAGTCCCTTTCTCGGGGACCCACGGACACTCCACGGTTTTCGCTCCCTCCCAGCTCCCGCCGTTAACGTGAAGCAAAAACGACAGCCCACCTCAATCTGATCGATTTTCACTTTCTTGTAAGCTTTCTTCATTTCCTTGGCTCCGATTTTCATGGCATCCACCTGACGGGAAGCAGAGTAAGAACCGCAGGAAACACTTCATTTCATTCATGTAGCTTACTTGTGTTTAGCAGTATTATTAGTTGCATAGAAGACCTTTTATTTTCTGACAATACATAAATCAGTAAACATGGCTACCAGGAGGAATGTGGCGCAGGCCTTACTGTTGTCTTTGTGTCCTTTAGCGTCTGAATGGTGTAGTTCGCCTGCTCCATGTTAAACGATTGCTGGGTCAGGTTGTCCCTCTGGCCTTCATACCTGCAGAAATGTTTTTAAAAATCTAATAAAACTTGTGTTACAACTAAAAATAAGTACTGTTACTGGTTCACTTTATGTACTCAAGCATGTCAGTTTCAACACTTAACCTAATTTTAAAGAATGAAACTACTTTATAGCACATCGTGAACCAGCAATAAAAATGCATCACAATACAAAATACAGTCTGGTTGATTACAGACAAAAACATCAACTCTATCACACATCAGGAGTCAAATATGCTTAAGTGGCATGAATTTTGTAATATCAAGACCCATCTGATACATAAGCAGCACTCACATCCTCTTCTGCTTCAGGACCCTCAAGGCTTTCTGCTTCACCATGTTCTGGAAAACGCCAGACACCCGTTATCAGGACGTGGAGAAACACTATAAAGAATGTGACAGCGCAGTGGAGCTACCTGGCCACATGGTGGCGCTGTGAGTACACCAGTTCAGTTGTCCCAGGTAGCTTTACCTTTGCAGGACCGTCTCGCATCTTCTTCATCTGTTCCTTGTACTTGAAGAGCTCGGCGTCCAGCCTGGAGATTTTCTTATCGATGGACTCCGCCCGCGAATCCACCTATGGCCAGCATAAGCTGCCGTCACTTGAAAGTTTTTATAATGTTGCTTCTTTACAAACATTATAAAAGAGGAGGCTTAAGATACTCCCGGAGCACACACATTTTACCAAGTATGTGAGGCACTTATAGGAGTTGAATTATAAGATATCAAGTCTACGAGTTTTACATTTTTGCTGTGCTTTCACTGAGCGATGTTTTATATACATTTCCAATGTACTAGGAACCTTGCCATTGAAAGCTATATCAATCTCAGAACATGGCAACGAACCAGCGATACGGTGTGTTTGTCTGAAGCACATAACTTAACGAGCGTACGCATTTTTTTTCCGCATGGGTGAAGCAAACCGGTCACACAGGTTCCCTTAAGGTTACAGTGACAGTATCGAGATACGCGGTTACTTAACTTCGGTCGGATTATTCAACTAACTTCGGCAGTTAAGTTCCGGTATTTCGATCTATGTCACCATAATATCACCATATTCAAGACAAAAGCAACGCGTTTTCTCATACCCTAGTGCCACGGAAACAAAGGATACTCTCTCCACTCATGTCAGAAAGATCATACGTCATAATGTTACCAAGAGTGACATTAATTTAACAGAAAGACAACCCCGGCGATGTTTTATCGCAGGCCCGGTAGTATAGCTGGGAATGAGTAAAACCAAAGCCGACTGCGCGGTGTTAGACGTCAGTTACACAAAGTCTCATGCGAGTGTTTTGTTTGCCTAAACAATGTTTACAGCCAGCTTGCCATGTACTTACATTTCCTATGCAGTCTGTGAGGTTTGGTGGTGGTCCTTTGGGTTTGCCCAGACCAAAAATACGATTCATCGTTACAAAAAAAAAACAAAGAACTGTAAAATCGCTTGTCTGAAAAATGAACTAAGCACACAAAGGAGGGGGCACTGAGAAACCTCTGCTACACACACAACAGAAAACCCGGAACTAACCTCACCGTGACGCGCGATTCGATTGGAGGATAGCCCGTATCACGTAACTCCAGCTGTCCCATAGCTGATGAGGGTTATGTTCCGCTCGATCTTATTGGCCGGCGGGCAATTCCGACTTCGTCATTCTCACATGCCAGGAGAAAAGTTTATGATAATCAGCCTGTCACAATGGCAGTGGTGGTGATTAAACGCTCGGCGATGTCTTAATTCACGGTGGGAAGCGGGGAGTAACTTTAAGAACTGACGCCTTTTATTGCATTTTAAATAGTCGATTTATTGAAATTGATTTTTAACTAAAATAAATCACATGGTTATATATTAATATACAGTGACAACAAGGAACATATACAACGTACTGAGCAGAATGTAATATTTTACAGGTAAAGCTTAGTAGTTCTGTGAGTTTTCAAATGAACAGTTATCACTTATTTACATCAAACGTTAAGTGATTTGACCAGTACCAAAGCATCATGCAGTATTTAAGAAAATTCCGCAATACTATAACATTATTAATGTTATGAAATTACAGTAACGAAATAGGTGTGTTATGTCACGGTACGTCTTTTTTTACACACCAACCAAACAACCAAACTGACAACGACAACCAAACTGACAACGACAAATGTAAAAAAAAAAAAAAAGACAGAGTTTGTTGAACTCATATGTTCAATTAAAACCGTCGCATTAAAACACGTTGCGTGAGACTTTCTGAGTAGTGGCCATGCGTCACCAGCAGAGGGCAGCATCAGCCAGCCTCCCAGAAACCTCAGGGAAAACGGCAAAGATACACGACAATATCACAACAATAAGGCTCTTCCATCAAAATGTCCCGTGGTGACAATGAGTATGAATATAAATATTTACAACTGTTATCGTTAGTTACATTTTTTCCCACTTCCAAATACATTACAGTTACTAAGAACACCAATACTGGTGGTCACTTTTGAGTTTACCTCATCTTCATGAGTCCATGAGTTTACTTTAACAAGTACATCACAGATATTACATCCTTAGCAAAAGCCAATACGACAAGTATAGTTTTAGATGACGTAATAAACATGCAGGGATTTTATAATCAAGGTCTTTGGGACCAATAACATGGTCAGTGTTTCCCAATCCGGTCCTCAGGGACCCACAGACAGTCCATGTTTTTGCTCCCTCCCAGCTCCCAGACTCTATGGCAGCCCTGTACTTCCATAGTCTTTTACATTATGATAAAAATCTGTGTGAAAACCTTTTACTGACTTTTTGGTGAAGCACTCACAACCAAGCCTGACAGATGACATCAAAGGACACTTGAGAGGAGAAACCTTAACAAACAGTGTTGGAGTGCTTGCCAATGGGATTCGTGACAGAGACCCAAAGAGAAACCTTAACAAACAGTGTTGGAGTGCTTGCCAATGGGATTCGTGACAGAGACCCAAAGAGAAACCTTAACAAACAGTGTTGGAGTGCTTGCCAATGGGATTCGTGACAGAGACCCAAAGAGAAACCTTAACAAACAGTGTTGGAGTGCTTGCCAGTATTTTCATGGCTTTATGGTCCTATACAAACCCCTTTGACATCATGTTTTAATTTGTCTTTATCTGAAGTTAAAATTTCACTCTTTCATTGATTTAATGGTTCACACTCAAGACAGATATGAATGTTTTATGATCTATGTAAATGTAATGGAGCGACAGAAATGGTAAATCGAAAAACAGACACCACGTTTCCTCCCTCTGCTTGGGGTTTGTTCAGATGTATGGAGACGGTGGCATTTCGTTCACATACCCCAGTATACCTACGTCACACAGCGGTGGTGACCTGCGTCATTCCAGTCTCGTCGGAGGGCTCGGGTTCTAGCTGATGGACTGACGAAGGCTCCACCGCTAGTCATGTGGGCTTGACAGTTCTCTCCTTGTCCACCAGGGGGTACGCAGCGACGCGAGAAGCTTTCCTCATCTGCACCCCTTTCTCCTGGTCCGCCCTCACTCGGCAAGGGCTGCAGAAGTCTTTGAAGCACCTCTTGAAGTTCTCGTCCAGGAACGCGTAGAGCACAGGGTTGAGGCTGCTGTTGCCGTATCCCAGGGCGACGCAGAAGAAGTAGGCGGCGGTGACATGGGGGGAGTCGGGCACGCTGCCCAGAGCGCGCACCAGGATGAAGATGTGGATGGGTGTCCAGCACACCACGAAGGCGGCCACCAGCACCATGACCAAGCGCGTGATTCGCCTCAGGCCGCGGTCCCCGTCCCTGGAGCCCGAGGGCAGCCGGACGCTGCGCAGACGAAGCACCATCAGGCTGTAGCAGGCGCTGATGATGAACACGGGCAGCACAAAGCCCACGGCGAACACGCAGACGCGCATCACAGTGTCCCAGTACAAGTAGGGGTCTGGGAACTGCAGCGCGCACTCCGTCGTTCCTGGAGGTTCAGGGGACAGGGATACACCCCTCATCACCCACACAGGTTCATTCACACTTATTTTGTTCAAATTCAGTCAAAACACTTCAATGACATCTGAAATAGTCAACCTATCACATGCTGGTATGTATCCCTGTGCTTTCACACAACTTGTATCTCCAAGGAACTTTTAATAACAAAAAAAATCATGAAATACTTTCCTTTATGAAATTTATTGGACATCAGATGTGAGCGTCACGAGAGCATCCCAGCCATACCATCGTATATACCTCAGAGTAGCCAGGAATCAAAGTTCAAAGGGAAGTCAAACTGATCTCAGACTCCACTTCTGGTCATATAGCTCTTAACATCAAGGTGCATTTCTGGGCTTCAGACACCAAAAAAGCATGCGGTGAAATGTACTGAACAGAGGGACAGAGACCGTGGCCACTCACCGTTGTTAGACTGAGTGCTTCCAAGGATCAAGGCTGGTACACCAGCCACAGAAGAAAGAACCCATATACAGACATTGATTATCTTGGCCTTGGCTGGGGTCCGGAAGTCCAGAGCCTTCACAGGGTGGCAGACGGCGATGTAGCGATCCACACTCATCATGGTGAGTGTGAAGATGCTGGTGAACATGTTGTAGTAGTCGATGGAGATGAACACCTTGCAGACCACCTCACCGAAGGGCCACGAGTCAAGGAGGTAATCCGTGCTCTGGAAGGGCATGGTGGTGGTGACCAGAGCGTCCGCCACTGCCAGGTTGAAGATGTAGATGTTGGTGGCCGTCTTCATCTTGGTGTGTCTGTGGAGAGACACACATCTGCAAAGGACAGCTGAACAGGTTCAGGAGACGGAGAACAGAATTCAGGCTTTTATCATCCAAGTTGGAATGGTGATTCGAGAACATCTACAGGCTCCAAATTAGTTCTCACTGGAGAAAAATCTCTGTCTCAGTTTTAATTAAAAATGGCAAGAAAAATAATTCTGAGCCAGACGACAATATGAATGTGTTGCTGGACAAGAAGGACATGTACGACAGACCACACTTCCAAAAGAAGGACATGTACGACAGACCACCCTTCCAAAAGAAGGACATGTACGACAGACCACACTTCCAAAAGAAGGACATGTACGACAGACCACACTTCCAAAAGGACATGTATGACAGACCACACTTCTAAAAGAAGGACATGTACGACNAGAAGGACATGTACGACAGACCACACTTCCAAAAGAAGGACATGTACGACTGACCACACTTCCAAAAGAAGGACATGTACGACAGACCACACTTCAAAAGAAGGACATGTACGACAGACTACACTTCCAAAAGGACATGTACGACAGACCACACTTCCAAATACTGATTCTATGTCGTATGGTTTCTATCCAGAATTATGTTCAGCCATAATAATCACCATTATAACTGCACTGTATTATGGTAATGTCATCCATCCACTTTCCACCCACTTATCCAGTGGAGCGTCCTGAGTGAGATGGGCCTGGATTTTATCCCAGGCAGCAAACAGGGACGCAAGCTGCCAAAACTCAAAGTATTCTCTGTAGACTTTTAGGATGATGTCAGAAGAGAAACGATTGTCATTTTTGTAAAACAATCTGCTGATTAAACAGGAGATGCAATTATTGATCTAATTGTCATTTAACGTATTCCTGTAAAACTGAATTACGGTTTTTTTCCCCCGCGATATCGGGAAACTACTCCACACGTTTGGTAACCCGTTTCGGAGTTAATGGCCGAGAAGACATACGGTCTCCATCACAGCAGGGAAACCAGCCATAGTCACTATAGGTAGTATATGCGCTAAGAGAACTGCGATCGGGCAGTAAAGGCAAAACAACAGGTATCGATACCTCTAACGGTGGAGCGGCATCAACCACTGCTTGCCTTGAGTACTAGTTAGTGCCGAGTAGTTAAAGTGTTTGATTATAAAGAGTGTAACTGCTGTTGAGGCAGGGTGGTCAGTTGCTGGGTGCATAGTAAGTCAGGAGAGATCTTATGCCCTGTAAATAGCGATGGAAGAAATTATATTTAAAAACCAACATCGGAGGGGAGTGGTGGATATTGTGAATATTGATTTACGGATGGCTTTAACCTACTTCGCATTGCTTATACTTTAATGTAAGCCTTTCAAGGAAAATATATGCGGCCATGTAGTTATATCAAATGAATCATTATAAATAACATTTCTTAATAACACACAACATTAAAAGTATATATAAATAATACAAATAGCCTATGTGTAATTATATTAGAGCTATACGAGAAATTAAGGTAATAATAATAATAATAATAATAATAATAATAATAATAATACATTTTATTCATAACGCACTTTACATTTTCTAAGAAAATCTCCAAGTGCTACAAAACCTCAACAATATTTAACACATCACGGTCCGAGATCCATCATTTATAGGTCTAGTAATTAAGCAATTGTCTGTTTTCAGAGTTTTTCGTTGCCCATCAATGACAACTGATAGATCAACCGTGTAAATCCTGCATTTCAAGCTGAATACATGGTGAATCGCCGTCTGTCACTGGCTTAGTGACAAAGGATACAAAAAATACCAAAACGTAACAGATGCTTGGTATAGTGCAATTTATCTTACCTGATGATGACATACATTACCAGACAGTTTCCCCCTAAGCCCACCACAAAAACGGCCGAATAGACAGCCGTGATGATGGAGAGGACAGACGGCACCGGCTGCTTCCCCCAGCCGCCTGTCAGCGTGTCATTGTACTCGGAACCGGGCGTCCATGTGCAGTTGGGCAGATACTCCTGGGTGAAACCCGCCTGGTCCCCGTCACCTTTTAGAGTTTCCACCGAAGTCACATCCATAGTTCAGGAGTTTTCAAAAAGAAAAAAAAGAAAGAAAAAACCTGAACATAAGCCGGAAGGAAACGCATTTTAGATAAAAGAACAAAAAGTGCAAAGTCAAGGTGTGCCATAATATATTTATTTAGCTAAACATCTGATTCATGAATGAGAGTAAAACATGGCTTGTAGGCGTATGATAAAAAAATAAGCCGAACGCATTGATTATATAACTAAAGGCGTAACTTTAACGCCTTAAATTAATGCATTAGTTTCAATCTGTGTACATACCCAGAAAGCTGGTCCGTCCGCGGGGTTAGATCACCGTAAACACGTTTGCTTGAAGCGGAAGGATGCCTGAATGCGGAGAGAACGCTCAGCACACTTCGAGGGGCGGACTTGGCGCTGCGCTGACGCCCGCTTGATGGCGCTCTCTGCCCCAGCAGCCCGTTATATGCGCACAGCACAGGCAGACCTCCACTGAAGACAGAAAGGATGCAGGCTCCTCAAACACTGTTCAGGTTTCAAGCCCAATAGACCTAGATTCGGCTACATTATATGCTGTGAGTTAGGCTATAATATTTAAAATATATTTTTTGTATAAAAGCATAGGTTAAATGTACCCTTAAATTAAAATTTCAACACGTTTCATTCGTGCGACCCTGTCCAGAAGAAGCCATTGGAAGATTAATGGGTAGACAGCCAAGGCATAATCAAGTTAAAGCATTACAGACGAATCAAGCCACAACACAAATTTAATACAAACAGCCATTCATTACTATTGTATTAAATTTTGTGGGAGCAATATTGGATCGAAGAAGGATACGACGGAAAAACACTTTATCAGACATGGACAGAAAGTTGGGAATAACTAAAACTCGCGCGTAATTTTATTTATGTAGCCAATATTAGCCTTCAAATTATTTAAACTGCAGCAGTTATCATAAACAGCAGTGGTTCTCAACCTTTTTTGCTCTGTGACCCAATCTTTACCAAATTTGGGTCGAAACCCAAGGGTTGAGAATAGCTAATATAGAGGGACCACTGGACGTCACTATTTTAACCTGTCCTGTGTTCACCGGTTTAATCACCTTCCCCATACCTACATTATATCAACAACACAGAAATGAATATACATGCAATTTGTCGACAGGTTATTGTACAACTGGATAGGCTACCCTTAAATGACATACAAACACAAACTAGGCCTATACGTTAGACTAATACTTCCTAAATGTTGATTTGAATTGGATTAGTGATAAATGCAATTGTATGACTGAGATGAAGACTGAGTTAAATGATCCATTCATTGCCAGTCTAGTACAAGGTCACAGAGGGACCTAGGGCGGAAAAGAGCAAAAGGCCGGGATACACCATTCACACACGCTCACACCCGCAGAGGCGCTCGGGGTGGAAGAGGGCAAAAGGCCGGGATACACCATTCACACGCGCTCACACGCGCTCACACCCGCTCACACCCGCAGAGGGGCCCAGGGCGGAAGAGGGCAAAAGGCCGGGATACACCATTCACACGCGCTCACACCCGCAGAGGCGCTCGGGGCGGAAGAGGGCAAAAGGCCGGGATACACCATTCACACGCGCTCACACCCGCATAGGTGCTTGGGGCGGAAGAGGGCAAAAGGCCGGGATACACCATTCACACGCGCTCACAGCCGCAGAGGGGCCCGGGGCGGAAGAGGGCAAAAGGCCGGGATACACCGTTCAGACGCGCTCACACCCACGGGAGAGACAGCAGGGGGACACTTCAGGATAAAACCCACAATGAATGGGGAGAACATTCAAACTTTATGCCCAAAAAGTGAACAGCATATTCTGCTCATATGTAATAAACTAAAGCATCCAGTTTTTTTTCTTTAGAAGCCAACAGCATGGTACAGTGTTTGAAATTGGAGGGTTACAACTAAATAATGTAAACTGAAAGGTCTATTTATTGGATGAATGAAGCCAAATTAAATATACGGAGGGAAGTGCTCCCCCCCCCACCCCCCCACCCCGATTCCTATACACCCATTATACAAAATAGATTAACATTAAATCCTGAGCAGTTTAAGTGTAAAATAAAAGAAACGCGTTTTCTCTTTATGATAAGGTAGTCATGAACTACATCACTGAATTAGAATTGAAGGAATTTATCAGTTAATCTTTGAGGGTTCAAATTTCATCAAACCCATCCAGGATCTGCTAGTTTGAATGCTATACATTTTCATGGTAATTAAGAATGTGTAGCTGATACCTAAGGAATACTGAGAAATGATGGATGCATGAAACAGGCCAATGAGTGCTTCTCTGTGGGCGAGGAAACACTAAGTTTACGCACAATCAATTTTGCGGATTACCACTCAGACTAGTACCAGAACACCATCAAGGGATACGTAGCCTGGAGTCTGGATTACAAAAGCTGGATTTTTGGGTTAACAAGATAACTTGTGGGATTTAAGGTAGTCTGGGATAATGCAAGTGAACAAAGTCCATTCAAACCGGGGTACCTTAAATCTGCCAAGTTATCTAGCTTACCAACAAATGTCGCTTTGCCTGGTCAGGACTCAGCCCTCTAACCTCAAGCGAACACACAGGCTGAATTTTCAGATAGATTTTACAGCATAAGAAGCTTCAGAAACGTCGAATTTAGAAAAAAAGCTCAGATTATTTGAATGGACTTTGAATCCCGGTTTTGTCCTGTCTAATTTAGTGCTGTTGGTTCAAACACAGTGATCGTTTGATGTGAGGGAGATGACATCCACTGCATTATATCAACAGTTCTACAGAGCAGCTATTAATCCTTCATGAACTTCAGTGAAATGAATGTACTTTAATGAATTCATCACATCAATGGTAACTGGAGTGGTGCAGACTTGGAAAGTGGTCCTCTTCAGTGTGCTGAGCGGTTCAGCCCGAGCCCAGCTGATTACGTGGCTTATCGATCATCATGCGATGCCACTTGCACTCTCAGGCTCCCAGCTTAAGAGTGCTGAGAGGTTCCCATTCTGGACAGCCAAGTCCGCTTCATCCTCTTCATCAGTCTTCTTGTCCCTTAACGGCCACCGTACAGGGGGGCGTCGACACGCAGGACAGACTTTTCACAAACACGTGAAATGTGAGTGCTGTACAATCCACGATCCGTTCACAGTGGATAATGGAAAACGGAAGATTTCAAGCTGACCTGGTGACACACAAGTAGAACAGGAAGGAACTTTCCAGATAAACAGCTTGTAACATGAGTGGATGGGTATGTCATTTCGAAACGGCCTCTTAAAACGCAGACGGTAACCAAAATAGAAACAATCTGAAATAGAGGGGCAATCAGCTAAACCAAAATGGATGGAAATTAACCACAAGCCTTGAAAAATGTTGAACTAGAACAAGTCGCACATAATTTCGAAGATCCACTTATTCTCGTAAATTACATAATTCATAGCTGCATAATGTCTTAAAATCACATGCATTTAACTACAACTAAAGACATGTAGGTCGCATGTCTTGCTCCAGTATATAATTGTATTGGGATTTGCAATATTTTTGTAAAAACAGGTGTGCAGCTTAGTGTTAGAGGGATGCGACGGAAGGGGCACGGATGTCAGAAAGACCCACGTTCACGTGTCAGAGGGATGCGACGGAAGGGGCCTGGATGTCAGAAAGACCCACGTTCACGTGTCAGAGGGATGCGACGGAAGGGGCCTGGATGTCAAAAAGACCCACGTTCACGTGTCAGAGGGATGCGACGGAAGGGGCCTGGATGTCAAAAAGACCCACGTTCACGTGTCAGAGGGATGCGACGGAAGGGGCCTGGATGTCAGAAAGACCCACGTTCACTTCAGCCGTTTTATCTAAGCTCTTATTTGTTTTAATGAAAAGTGCATTATAAACAACATGTATTATTATTATTATTATTTTATATACTTTATACCAGACCTCAGACCATTGCCCTCCCACTGCTCCTCAATCCTGTCCCCAAATAAAGCCCCCTAAAGTCACATCAGAACCACAGGAACATGCCTCACCACTGGGGGCCTCCTTCTGCAGGCAGGTAGAAGGTGACAGGTTTAATTGAAGTGCAAATTACCAAAGCACCACGGGATACAACTGTGAGAAAATATCTGTGGACTTGACGACTTTTTGGAAATGAACCAGAAATTTGGCTGCAAAAACTGTAACATATGAGGAAGCCGGGCTTTAGGTCAATGGCAGTCGCATCTCAAGAACAACGAAAAACAGAGTTTTGGAAATTTGCTGTTCAATCGCGGACCATTGCATAAACTAGTTCTCTCATTCTTTCAAAATGCATTGCTTTTGGTTAACCACCCCCCACCCCCCCACCCGAAAAAAGAAGAAGAAGAAACAACCTTCTCACACAGGCATTTACTACAGTTAAGATATTTTTTATTTAGATTCCAGGAGCTTTGTGCAATAAGTATGACGAAGAATAAGTTACATCTCCAGTTAAGGTCAGGGATGGGTCCAGATCAGCACACGCATACAGCACTGGACAAGAACATCGAACAGACAATAATAATGGGGGTGGGGGCACTGGTCGACAGGCTGATAGCGTTACACCCCAGATCAGAGTGGACCATTAACACACCAGGAGAAGCCGTGTGCATTGGACACAGGCTCATGTACACACACGGTGCACGCACACGGTGCACGCACACGGTCCAATCAGCTCCTAGCGGCGACCGCGTTGGGCTGCTCCGTGGACTGCAGCTGCTTTCCGAGGTACTCCCTGAAAGGAAGGACGTCACATGTGTGAAGGACGAGGTGGGAGCCGCGTGAAATGCAGCACCCCGGACCTGGAGATACCCAGCAGCCCCCACAGAGAGCACGCCGCTCAGGCGTGAGTGAATATCAATAACCACTAATTACTGCCTTTCCCATCAACGTTAATCACAAAAGAGCAGTCGCACTCTGTGGACTCATTAGAGAACACCTTCGGGTGGACTTATTAATAGATGTCAGAATTTAATAGCATGTGACATTCAGCGCAGCACAAAAACACACTTAAAATGATCTCCATCAGAGGCGGAACAAAGGACTCATGATCCTAGATGATGTTCGGTCGTCAGGCCTTTGCAAGGGGAGTCTTTTCTGTCGAAGGTTAATGGGGAAATGAGTCAGCAACAGCCCCCGCCAGAACGGGGAAGAGGAGAACGCTGTCCCTGCCCCAACCGACACTGACGGCTGCCCTGTTTGTAATGAATGTGACTAAAGGTGTAACAGTGTTAAAGGGGAAAAGATGCACGTGACACATCTATTCCGGGAAGTGAATCAAAATAATGGCAATATAATCTCTGCACTGACGTAAGATGCATCTGTGCTACGGAAGCCAAGAGCTAATTGAAAATGAGGCCAATGAATGACATGAAGTGGACTGTTTGTGAAAAGGCTCTGCTGATAATGCGGTGACCCCTAACCCTCAAGACCTATTACTGGAGGGGGGGCAACGGCAGTGCCGGTGTACGAGTGTGAGGGCCATGCAGGGACCTGTTCCCCACTCGAAATGGACCAAAATGGACCAATGGCAAGCCAGATCTGAGGCGGGGGGCAGTAGGGGGGGCAGCCGCTGCACGCCTGTCCCCGGCACTCACCAGTTGTGCACCATGAGCTTCTGCACGGCCAGCAGGGCGTTGTAGCGGACCAGCTGGTCCTCGTGGTGCATGTGGTTCATCACCAGCTGCTTTCCACCGAGCTGCTCGATCACCCTGGGGGAGAAACTGCCGTAAGGAGCCATCTCTGTCTCACTCTCTCTCTCTCATACACACAACATTGCCTGAATTCACCTTCGGGGAAGATGGTGGCGCAGGAGGTAGTGCAATCGTTCGGCAATCAGAAGGTTGCAGGTTCGAGCCCTGATTCCTCCTGACCCCATCAAAGTGCCCTTGAGCAAGACACTGAACCCCAAAGTGCTCCCGGTGAGCAGGTTGGTGCCTTGCATGTATGAATGTGAGTGTCGATGGGTGAATGTGAGGCATGAATTGTAAAGTGCTTTGAGTCCATTCACTTCTATGGGCAAAATCATAATCCCAACAATGACAACCTTTCCCCCTATCTAACCTTAACTGTAAGTAACCAAACAAAAAATACAAGACTTGGGGCATTTTTAGTTTTTTGATTGCAGTCACAGATTTTTATTTGACTGAGTTTCCCCTTGTGGGGACCGAAGAAATTGTCACCATAACATGAAAATAACAGGTTTTTAATCACATTGTGGGGACATTAGGTCCCCATAATGTAATACGTACACGACTCGCACAAAAACACACATACACCTGAGAACAAACCATAACCAGCAATAACGTACAGTGGGTGGCGCTGCAGCCTCACACCCCCAGGGTTAGGGGTCTGAAAGCCCACTTCTGCATGCATGTGGAGTTTGCGTTTTCTTCCAGTGTTGTGTGGCCCTCTTCCGCACTTAAAAATGACATGCAGTCTGGTGAAGTGGCACCTCTAAACAGCCCAGTCCAATCCCAGCGTGAGGCGGGGGAGGTCAGGTTCACTGGGGGATCCATAGCCCTTACCGTTTGCCACGAGGGTAATGCCGTACATACTCCCCCACATCATGGGCCGCCACTGCGATGACCTGAGGGTCCTCGGAGACTTCCAGAAGCCGGGTCAGGATCCTGCAGAGGGAGATTAAGGAACTGATGCAGCTCACAGACTCAGTTTAGGAACCCTAAAGCTGACCCTTGTGTGTCCACTGTTCCAGTGTTTAACCTGGTCCTCACATTTTTGCTCCCTGCCAGACAGTCCACATTTTTGGCTCATGGGAGTTTTACTTACACAAAAGTGTTCTAAGGGCAGAAGGAAAAATGATTGGTTCAGATAGGGAGCAAAAATGTACACTGTCTGGGGGTTCCCAAGGACCAGTTTGGTCCCGAGGACCAGTTTGAGAAAAATTACACTATTCAACTCATGACCTAATTATGTGTATAGAACCTTAATCTACAATCAAGTGACTGAGCTTTTTAGATACGTGATTATGCATCTATGTTAATATGTTAAGTTTCTATTATTCCAATCATGCTTCTAGAGGGGTGGGATCATTTAATCATCAATCAAGCATTGTTGGGATTACAGAGATGGGTCAAAAATGTGGCAGCCAATCAGGACGCCTCTGGAGAAAAGGGTGCTATTGCTGGATGAAGGGATGGAGATTCCTGAGCTGAAAGGCAAATGGGGCAAAGGGCCAATTTGGGGCACATAGGACAACCCTTCAAGTTCCTTCCCCCACACATCTGGCTAAAGGCAAGGAGATGACCTGGGGGCCCGAGCTTGGGGCCCGAGCTTGGGGCCCGGCTCCAGGGCCGGGATGCTGATGTCAAACAGAAAATGGCTGCTTACAATCACAAACAACTTCGGAAGAGACTTTCTTTAATGGACTCGTTTTATTATTTCCTTGCTGCCAGCTGGAACTCAGACCATTTTAATTACACACGCTGTTGCTTCAGAGAGGCTCTTTATCCAGAGTGATACTCTTGCCGATTGCTCACACTGGGAATCTCTGTGCACTAATTGCACGATGGGGTATTTCACCAAAACAGGTCGGGACGAGAGTGTCGAGGAGCAGAAGAGCTGAGCGCCCCGCGGGTCCCCAGGCGAGTGGACTTTTAATTGGGCGTGTAGGCTGCGCCACCTACTGTTGGGGCACAGGACCTGCGCGGAGAGCTTACTTGAGGAGTTCGTAGTTCTTCTCGTTCAGCCGCACAGCGTTCTCCCGCCAGAACTTCTCGGATTTGTGCACGGGGCTCCACTCCAGGCGTCCGGACTTCAGCTCGGAGCTGTACTCATCAAAGGAGCTGATGGGGGGGGGGGGTGCAGAAAGGCTTCACCATTGGTTCCCAGTACCATGCAAAGACGGCAACCAGCATCTCAGCTTTACAGCCATCAACATTACCTTTACACATTATTTACTCACACAGCGTATGACACCTAGCAAAGTACTACAACAGTCAGCAGACACAGCGCAACTATTGGCCCAAGGCGCCTGGAAAAGATACACATTTACATTTAATTCATTTATCTGACGCTTTTATCCAAAGCGCCGTCTAGTAGAGGGGAGTATTACAACGTATGTACTCCCAGGGATTTGAACTCACAACCTTCATGTTGTTAGCACAATGCTCTACTAGTTGAACTACAGGAGACATTATTAAACAAATGGCCAAAAACACTCAGGGGGCATGAAGAGGCCCTTGAAGAGCATGAATGACAGTGAGAGGATTATACAGCTGTACGGCACAGATTCAGAGAATGCAGGGTTCAGCTAAGCACAAGAGCTTAGTTATGCTGGGGCAGTATGGCCTTGTATAGTTTGACTACCTACTCAACCAGGATATTCATTTGTGCCCCTCCCCCCCCCCCCGGGTACCTGAGGTCCTGCACGCTCTCGCCCAGCCTCTCCAGCAGAAACTTGATGTCGTCTGTGATGTCCTCGTCGTCGTACCTCTGCTGTTCCAGGTTCTCCAGTTGCTTCAGCACCTTGCACTGGATCATGGCCAGTGCGTATTCCTGGCAGGTCTCCCGTTCGCTCGACTTCTCCAGAAGGTTCTGCAAGGAGTCCCGAGGCATCTACCTTTACTCAAGGCGTATGAATGTCAGGAGACAACAGAGTAACACTAATATAGTCCTCCAATCCTAATCAACTGGAAATGTTATATATACCTTTACAAAGACTCAGGATTTTATGTACATATCGGAGGTAGGTAGGCCCCCGGGGGCCTCATGTAGGAGTAAGGGACCCCCAGGCCGCCGGGGGCCTCATGTAGGAGTCAGGGACCCCCAGGCCGCCAGGGGCCTCATGTAGGAGTCAGGGACCCCCAGGCCGCCGGGGGCCTCATGTAGGAGTAAGGGACCCCCAGGCCGCCGGGGGCCTCATGTAGGAGTAAGGGACCCCCAGGCCGCCGGGGGCCTCATGTAGGAGTAAGGGACCCCCAGGCTGCCGGGGGCCTCATGTAGGAGTAAGGGACCCCCAGGCCGCCGGGGGCATCATGTAGGAGTAAGGGACCCCCAGGCCGCCGGGGGTGGGAGGGCACATCCATCGAGCAGCCACACGAGCCCGTTCCACCCACACAAAGCACACGGCCTGATTGAATCTCCGGACATCAAAGTGACACATACCCAGCAATACCAGGATCTCGTCGCTGCCGCCGTCGCAGTCAATTTACACTTTACACAAATTGAGGCCCATATTTTCAGAAACAGCGTAACCATGGCGACCTTTCCCCGGCAACACAACGACTCTTCTTGTCCTGTGACTTGTGCCCCGTCAGCCTCATGCTAAGCAAACGTTTGACACGCCAGAAACGAAAGTGCCACATGGAAAAGGAGAGGTTTAATCAGCGTTTAGGGGTGAGATGTCAGCCCCGGGAATAAGCAGGCGAAACACATTAAGCCAGCAGGGACACACAAACCCAGTCCCAGCTCAAACTTTCAATTCCATTTCCTCTACAGATGGACCCCTTAAGCGTCCACTAGGGGGCACGTGCTGACAAGGAGCTGGTTCTCAAGTGCTGCCAGAGTGGCACGATGTGAGAACTGGCTAACAATCACACAGGTTACAAATGACATGCATATCGGATGACAAATGACACACATGACGACAAGCACGTAACATTCACTAATTAGTGTTTTCTGACAGAGAATATTGAGGCTAATGCTAAGTTAAGCTCTGGTATTAGTCAAAACTCTCTTTTTTATGAAACATTAGCTAGCTACATATCAAAGTATTGCTAATAAATATTAAGAACAAATTATTTGCTGCATTTTTGCCGTGCAGATTTTGCAGCTGAACAGAAGATAAGTATTCACAAACCAGCCAGTAGGTGGCGATCCCTGGATTCAATCGGACGCAGTTCATCAAAAACTTCAGTGTCGACTGTCTACATGTCAGTCTCGAATAAATTTGCTTATTTGATTTGTAAATAGGAATACAGTCTGCTTTCTCCTGCTCTACTTCAATTTCTACATGTTTTCAGCAAGGCTAAAATCAAAGAAAACCACAAACACTAGAAAAAAATTGTGGCTCTGCTGAGTTGTACGATGCATCGTAGCCACTCCCTACAAAAATCCGGAATATTAGGTCTGTATATCTAATTTTAATTTGAAATTTTAATCAGCCATTTGAATTTTTTATGAATTTTATGCATTTTGCTGAACAAGCCTTTTGGTCCAGATTCCAACATTCATAGCTCCTTTGATATGGCACGTACAGCTTTGAAACTTTGTAACTAGGGCTGACTTTTTCTGGAGAATCAAAAAGTGTTATAAAATCAGCCACATCTTATGTACTTTTCCTCCTACAAAAATTCAAAAGGACACCCCCTTTGAGAGCTTGATAATAATAATTAATAATAATTGATACTTTATTGATCCCCGTGGGGAAATTGTCTTTACGCCTCCCTCAACTTGCTCTTTGTAGAGTAAGCTGTCCGCAAAGGGCAGCCACCTGTAGCGGTGCCCAGGGAGCTGGGGGTTAAGGGCCTTGCTCAAGGACCCACAGATGTGCTGAGGCTGGGAGTGAACCGGCGACCTTCTGATTACAGGCACACAGGCTTAGCCCACTGAGCCACAGGCTGCCCCAAATGGGGAAAAAAAAGCACTCTTTTTTTTTTTTTTGGTCATTTATGACACATTATGCAGTAATCATATGTATCACTGTTATAGGAATAGCAGAGTAATTTTTGAAAATGTGCTCAATTTTCAAAATTGCCTTTTTTCATGTTCTCATCTGACCATGTTACATAGTTTAGTTTCAGAACTGCCACACAAATTTGCTTCAATAGGTGGAACATTCAATCCCTAGTAAAAATTATATTTTTTTCAAGTTAGGCAATCTTACTGATTGTCAGAATCATGTAATTTTGAAACATGTAATATGGATTTTTTTCTAAAACTGCATGATTTGATATAGAATAACTCCTGTGCATGATTGTAAATGTGCTAATTTAAAGTAAAAGAAGAAATGTGTAACTATATTTAATTTCTTCACTCCCCTCCATCCTTTCCCGAGTTACCGGACTGACACCTCAGGAGCACCACAACTGCCCAGGCCTGGAGCCCCGCAGTCTTACCCGGAACACGGCCTGGAGCCCCGCAGCCTTACCCGGAACACGGCCTGGAGCCCCGCAGCCTTACCCGGAACACGGCCTGGAGCCCCGCAG